AGTATTATATAGTTAGAAAGTAATCTTTTTATTACTTAGGTTAATAGTAATTACTTTAGTTATATTAATAGCTTAGCTAATTTAGTCCTTTCTATTTATATAGTTTATAGTTAATTTTTAAAAGAGATCTTAAAACTCCTTAAAAATAGAGAGATTATTAAAAATATATCTATTAGTATTAATATTTAATATAAAGGAGTTTATCCTCTTAATAGAAGCTATAGATATAACATATTAGCTTACTTATACTTTTTAGTTATTATTTTCTTCTTTATTAACTTCTTTAATAATATTATATATAAAGAAACTATTAATCTATATTTTAATAATTTAGTTAGTAAATCTATAGATAAAAAGTTTAACCTTCTTTATTAATTACTTCTTAACTCTCTATATGTAGTTAACTTTATATAAATCTCTAGCAAGAAATTAAAAGTTAAAATATAAATTAGATATTTTAAAGTTATTTATTAAAGAATAATAGAAAGGTGTTTTTTAAGCTTAAGTTAATAGAGTATTTATAGAAGCTTTAGATTAATAGTTAATATCTTATTTAATACTAAAGTTTCTAGAAATACTATTTTAAGTTCAACTTTTTAAAGTAAATATTAAAATAAATACTTATATAGTTATTTATATAGTTATTTATAATATATTTAAATATTTAAACTTGATAAAGTTTATAGTATAGTATTTATAATATTTAAATAAGTATTTGTTATAAAAAATAGAGTATAAAGAAGCTTTTCTATAATAATAAGAGTATATCTTATATCTATAAAGGCTTTATAAATACTTAGAATTATGAGAAGTATATAAATCTTATTATTAACTCTTTCTATTATTTATAAACTTAAAAAATTAAGTTTATATTTTATAGTAAACCTCTCTTTATTTAATAAAGCTTTAAAACCTTAAGAGACTTATTTATATTATTCCTTTTTACTAAAACTTCTAAGTTGTTATAAAAAGTTATTATAAATATAAATTTCTATAATAAAGTTATTCTTTATAATATCTATTTTAACTTAATTAAAATATTTAAAACTTTAGATAAGTTTATAAATAAAAACTATAATTAATAAGCTTATATTAAAGCTATTTAGTTTATTAAAAGTTAAATAAAGATCTTATATAAAGTTTTAATATTACTATAATTAACTAACTTTAATTATTTTATTCTAATTATTATAAACTTCACTTATAGCTAGCTTATTAAATTTCTAAATACGTTTTTTAGTTTTAATAAAGATATAAAAAGCTAAACCTATAATAAAAATATTATTATTAATTATCTCTTCTAAGAGATTATATTAGATCTTCTCTATAAATAACTATTTAGTCAAAATAAAACCTATAAGTATTAAATTACTTAAAGATTTTAGATCTTTAACTACCACTACTTTATCTTTTTTAAAAACTATATCTTTATTATATTTATTTAGTATTCCTTTATGTATTGAATAGAAGAGAAGTTTTATTACTTTAAAAGTATTTTCAAAATTAATCTCTTATAACTAAAAGTTTATAGTTTTAATTACCTTAGAAATAATATTATATATCAAAATTCTTAAGTTTAATCCTTTATTAGCTACTTTTTATATAGTTACTTTAGCTATAAAGTTAGTAGAAAAAAGAGAAAAGCTAAAAAAGCTTAACTAAAATAATCCCCTCTTAGTAAGGCTAAAAGGAAATAGAGTTAAATTATTAATTAAAGATATATTAATTTATTTAGTTAATTTAGTAGTTTAAAAGAGGTTTAAATAGTAGTTATAAATAGTTATTAAATAGTTATTAAGTAGTTATTATTATATAACTAACTATAATGATTATTAAATAATTATTAACTTTAATAGCTTAAAAACTAAAACAATTTTATAACTAAAAATATATATATTATAATAGCTATAATCTCTATTTAGAAATATTACTTTTAATAGTTTAATAATCGATTAATTACTTTTTAATAATTATTAAACTATAAAGTTAGAGTTTTAATAACTACTTAAGAATAACTTTACTATCTAGTAAATAGATTTAAGTATTTAGAGGGTTTATAACTTATATAAAGTAGCTTAATTAATCTAGCTATAAGCGCTAAGCATAGCTAGCTATAAAGTAGTATAGCTAATCCCTTACGTAAAGGTGGGATTTAGGCTAGGATTCAGGCCTTGGGCCCGGGCCCGGCCGACTACTATCTCGCAGGACTGAAGTCTCCCATTGCCTACCAACGGGTTTAGCTATGCAACCATTCAAGCGCGCGCATGGATAAATATGTGACTAGGTTGGAACTGCGCCTGCAGAGAGCCATGTAAAATTCTCAAATCATCCGATGCACCGAGCTTCCACAATGAGGGATTTGATTGTCTCAATGTCCCCACCGGAGCTTGATCTCGACAAACATTTGTGGTTCTTGCTCAGTTGTTGCCTCCCATAGTCCGACTCACGACCATTAGATCAAGTCTCTACGTAAATCCAAACGACTTGAACAGTCACTTACTCGCCATGTCCGATGAATTACAAGGACCACGTGGAATGCTGTGTCAATGGTGCTGGGATACCGTGTTCAGCAAAGAGACATTCTCACTCATGTCTGAACTACAATGGAAGCATCGATGGAATTGCGGTCGAAGATATTCCAAGGGCGATACCGAATACTGCTTCTGCGAACATGAACGTATCAGTCGAACCTTTCGCCGAAGTCTTGAGTCCATCCAACACAGCGTCCGGGGCGGGGGCTGCATCTTTTGCTCCTTGCTAGAAGCTGCTATCACAGAGGCTGAACCGAGGGTCAGAGATGACCAAAATGGACACGTCTTCCTAGATCCCGAAGCTTCGAAAGCCGTCTGGAAGGCAAGCTACATCGAATCTACGTCGGATTTCGACGTTAGTTTCGCGCTTCCCTCTGGCTGGTGCAGCATAAGCTTTCCAAGAACAGATAGGAATTACTTTTTCCCTTCGCGACATTGTTATTTCAGGCTTTACCCCGCCGACCAGGACCTAGTTTTCCTCTCGAGACTACCTTCAATTCCAGATCAGAAGATGGTAACAACTGATGGAGAGCCAAGGAACAGACTCATAGACTCTCAATTTGGCAACTATTCTTCTCCAAATGCTCAGAGTCTAGAGGAGGAAGGGCGCGTTCTCCGCGAAAAGATACAGGACTGCGTGATAAACCACAAGCAGTGCAGAGCCACAACCACTCGGGAACAGCCTAGGCGACTTCTTCATGTCTCGGGACATACGTCCTGCCCAGTCATCAGTCTCCAAGAGCGGTCGGATACTGCTGCACAAGAGCACATCGACTATGTTTGCCTAAGCTACTGTTGGGGAGGCGACCAACCCGGGAAGTTGACGATGGATCGTCTCCCAAGGTACAAGAAGCAGATCCCAGTCTCTACCCTTTCAAAGTCAGTTATTGACGCAGCGACTATGACGTTGTCTCTGGGCTTCGAATATCTTTGGGTGGATGCGTACTGCATCATCCAGGACTCAGACAATGACATGAGTATTGAACTCGCCAAGATGGCTGCCATCTACTCAGCGGCGGTGTGCACGATATCCGTCGTGTCCGCTGCTACCGCTGGCGAAGGTTGGATGTCTCCGCGATCCAACAATGGTCTTCTGAGTCCTCCGTTGGAAGACTCTGAAGTGACGAGACTGTTTCTCTATCGGGCAGACAGTGAACAGTTACTTACACCCGAGTGTCTGATTCTCGAAATATCAGAAGCCTTTGCTCAGAAGACAGATCCTGAGCCTTTACACACCCGAGGATGGACCCTCCAAGAATCCCTACTCAGCCCTCGATTACTCTCTGTGTCGTCAGCATATAGAGGTCGCTCGACGCTGAGGTGCGCGAAACGTATTGCGCGGGCCGATGGTGGCTTCGTACACCGGACTTCCCCGCTGGCGGCATGGCCTGTCAATAATCAAGATGGAGATGAAAAGACGAAGTATATTGATAAGCCGGGCTGGGCAGTGAAGCGATGGTACGACGTTCTTTCCGAATATTCGAAAAATCGTCACCTCACTACCAAGTCAGATAAACTCACGGCCCTAGCGGGCATTGCGGCAGAGTTTATCAGGCTTCAGAATCTGGGTGTGTATGATGTCGGAGTCTACGTCGCAGGTCTGTGGTCAAAGTCCCTAGGCGTCGATCTCCTATGGAAGCCAGACATTGACTGTCAAGAACGGGGTGACTGCCATCCCATAGATGACATTTACGTGGGGCCTTCATGGTCTTGGGTCTCCAGGGATCACGCCGTAAGCTTTCGCAAGTCGACCTACGCATGGGGAGCCCAGAGCAAGATATCTTACAGAGTAGTCCCAAAGGACTTGCGAAACCCGAATGGCGCATTGCAGTATGCGGAGCTGACAATAGTGTGTGGCGCTGCCGAATGGTCAGCGGCGTGTGTGCCTAAATCTGAAATCGACGATAGACCGTACACCCACGACAGAAACGGAACTGTATGGTATCTAGATCTCGCGACTGTTGAACCGTACAACACACCTCACTTTGTGGGAATAGTAGTGCAACAAGTGGATAGGAAGCAGGAGAATAAGAAGAATCCTGCTGTTGATCTTTTTGGCCCGACGCTGTACAGGCGCGTGGGCATGTTCGAAAGTGGCCGGGCGGCGTATAAGCAAGACAGACCAGAGAAGAAGTTCATAATTATCTAGAAGTAATGTATTGATTTGATGACTTGCTGTTGTTAATTATACGCTGATGGAGAAGGAGAATGTGGTGGGTGCCGGGCTCGGGGAGTTCGGCGATATGAGTGAAATGATCCATGGATGTGGCTGGCATTTTCGGGAGTGGCGCAGTCAATGGGGCCTGCACAGTGTAAAAGCACGCGATAGCACCCCGCATGCACGCGATACCGCCGACCGCGGGTCCGAGAGTCTATGACAAATCCATCTCTCAACATCAACCAAGAGTTCACCTTCACTCCGATAAACCACAACTAGACGGTTTTCGGTGGAGTCCCAAGTCAGTAACAATGGCATCTCAAACGGATCTCGAAAGCCAAAGGAAGGCGACCGACGAGCGCACGCCGCTTCTCGGAGCCTCGGCCGAGGATGAGGAGGCGACTCGTCCACCTCCGGCATACCAGGATCGGAGGGCCGACGATAACGAACACGACGAAAACCAGGACCCAGAGCAGGTTTACCTCATTGCGCCGAGTCCTGATGAGGAAGAGAAACCTAAGCGTACGACTGGATGGTGGCTATGGAGAGGATTTTGGGCTGTTCTAGCCATCTTCGTCTTGGCTGTTTTCATTAAAGGGTGGGTTGACGCGAAGGATACGTATGTGAGTGAAACGAACAGCCCACATCGCGATGAAGCTAGTCCAGCTGACAGTCAGACCTAGTTTGATCTTGGAAAGGCACTCAAGAGAGCCCTGGGCGGTGGCTTGAGCGGCGCTGCTGCCATGGTTCTGCAAGTTTTGACGCTTATGGTATGCCCTCATGTTTATTGGTTATGAGGATACGCCCTGACATCTTGACAGCCTCTTCGTACGATTATGAACTACCAGTATCGCTTTGGCACTGGATTCCGAACTGCTACGGCGACTCTCTACCATGACGGAGGCCTCGGTCGATATTACCAGGGACTTGGCGCTGCCCTTATTCAGGGTATGTCTCCAGATTGAAGCTTTCCATGCAATCACTTGTGACTTACAATTACCAGGCCCCGTCTCCCGTTTCGGTGACACGGCAGCGAATGCCGGTATTTTGGCTCTTCTCGAGTCAAACTCGTTCTTGAACCAGCTCCCAACGCTCATCAAGACCGTCTTTGCTTCGCTTTGGTAGGCAATTTCCGCTCAGGATTGAATTCTTGATCATGTTATCACAATAGTCTACTGACTCTTTGTTGAAGCGCCGCCGCTTTCCGCATGATTCTGACTCCTATTGACACTCTCAAGACTACACTCCAGGCACAAGGTGCGAAGGGCACTGCCATTCTTCGCCAGCGTGTCAAAACCAACGGTATCGGAAGTCTGTGGTGGGGAGCGTTCGCGACTGCTGCGGCTACCTTCGTTGGACACTATCCGTGGTTCGGAACCGTGAGTTTCGCTGTTGTCAGTACCTACGTCCCTTGCTGACCTTTGCAGTACAACTACCTGACCGCCAATATTCCCGAGCCTGACAAGAGCGATATCTTCGTTTGGCTTCTTCGTCTCGCCTTCATCGGCTTCTGCGCTTCTATTGTGTCTGACACTGTGTCAAACTCGCTGAGAGTTGTGAAGACGTATCGCCAGGTCAATGACACCAAGATCTCTTACAGTAAGTTCACTTTCATGTGTCTTCGCAGGACCATGAGGAACGTCCACTAACTGAATACACCACAACAGCGAAAGCAGCGAAGAATGTCATCGAGAGAGACGGCGTGCTCGGCTTCCTCGGCCGTGGCCTCAAGACTCGCATCCTGGCCAATGGCTTGCAGGGTGTTCTGTTCTCAATTCTATGGAAGCTCTTCCTTGACCTGTGAGTTGCCTCACACTGGGCATTGACTTGGATGCATTTACTGATGTTTCGTAGTTGGGAGAAGAAGACTAGCTCTTGAGAGTAGACCAGGGTATTGTATAGTGCAATGAGGCCTTGACCAGTGCTACTCAGAGACATGGGGCCTATTTCGACCGCTCTCACCAAACGCCTCGTTCTCGGCATGGAAGTTAGTGATCGACTTGTTGCATGGTCTCCGTCAGATCTCCAGAGTCTCAGACAATACGTAACTGGCTAAGTACCTTGCAGTTACTAGCTTGCATAGATTTTGATTGTCACTGTTCGTGGAAGATCTTCTAACCTGTAATGGTTGGTTTCGGGCGCAAAGGCGTAGTGCATTACTGTTGTCTTTACAGCGAATGAAAAAACTGCCTACGTTTTCTTGCGGCAACGTGTTCCTCATCTGGATGTATTCTTCTGGCCAAATCTATCTAGAAGACTACTTCTCATGTGTACCAAGTAGGCTCAGGAACCTCGCCCAACAGCTGATATCTTCCAAGCTCCCGGTTCTTGTACGCAACAGGGTCATGCAAGGAGTGCGTTCGGATGTCTCTCCAGAATCTGTCCAGACCAACCTTGGACCCAGTGGCCTTCGCGCCAGTGACCTCGAAGATACCCGATGCTACTCTCAGACCGGTGTCAGTGGCCGTGACCTTAACACTTGCAACCCACTCAGCGGCCTCTCCTCTCTCTTGTGCGGTGAGCTTTGCTCTGGCGGTAGGATCGCCAGAGTACTTGTACACATTGTCAATCTCTTCGCCAGCCTTATCGGCCAGCGCCGTGGCAGCACGAAGATGAGCCAGGAAGTTGCCATACGTAGACAGAATATAGAATTCATCTTCCGCCTTGTCCTTGTTCTGGATCGGAATCGCATCAGCAACCGCATTTTATCAGCAGGGCTCGTGGACTTACGTCTCCACCAAAGGGCCAAGCCCGAGTGTTTTTTCTGGTATACGCCGAAGCAAAGTCTAGTGCTCCCCATGCGATGCCGATATAAAAGTTGCTGAAGACGAGCTGAATGCTATAGAAATTGTCAGCAGCTGAATGTTATGCGACGGATTAGACTATCTCACGTTGGTAAAAGCAAGGAGGCATATGGAATCTTGAGAATCGCGGGATCAGGTTTCTTCTCGGCGGCGTTCCATCCCAGAGCATCAGCCCAAGGGGCTGTGACGTTTTCGATCTTGACGCTTCCGGACTCACTGAGTCGCAGACCGACGTTGTCCCAATTGTGCGAGAAGATGATGCCTGGCTGATCTGTCTTCACAATGGCGTAAAGATGGTCCTCAGTTCCCTCCAAAACACCCTCGAGCACTGTTAAGTCAGAGATGACACCGCCGGTGTTGAAGTTCTTGAAGCCGTTGAAGACGACGGTATCGCCATCTGAAGTGATCTTATGGTCGCTGTCGCGAGGGTTGACAGCGCCCCCCACGAAATAGTTGTTGGAGATGATGAGGTCCTGGGTACGGTCTGCCTGCTCTGGACTTCCGATCACATTTGCGGTAGTTGACCAAAGCAGATGGTAACCAAGAAGCATTCCGATGGATCTATCTCAGTTGGTTAGATGCTTAGAATGTCGACTTCCCGAGCCATGGCACTTACCCATCGCCCTTGGCAACTTCTCGGATCACCTTGTATCCCACGCTCCATGGTTGCTCGCCACCACCATACTTCTTCCAGCCGAGAACCTTCAACAAACTGGAGTGCTTCAAAAGGGCGATCTCTGCGCGAGGTGATTTGTTTTCCTTCTCTCTAATGGCTGCATCTTGAGCCAAGACTGTTGCGACGTCTTTGGCTCGCTGCAGCCAGTTGCTCTCGTCTGTTGGAAGGCTGGACCACTTCGCCTTGAACTCATCGTAGACGCTAGGGTCCGTCGACGGGACGGAACGAGCGTTGCTTGTCATTTTCGCAGTGGAAAAACACAGGTTCGGACGGATGAAAAATAAAGCGCTCGTACGGCGAAATACGTAGTAAGATATCACAAAGTATTAATGATATCCCAATGCAACGCAAATCACTTCACGAACATGCACATCGAGCTTCGAAAACGCGTCTCTTATCACTTGTTGAGCACATATTGAACCCCTCATCTCTTTAGTGAATGCCACAGGATAATGAGATGCCGGCTCCGACTGACGCTCTCGCGCAACGCTCCACACCTATGTTGTGATATGTCGCCATCGAACCCAAAGCCGAGCTACCCATAGCCCCCCACACTAGCTCGAAGACACCCCACGTCAGAGATAACGCTTCATGCAGGGACAGAGTTACTGCGGCCGGGAGACTTTCTGGGACCCATGTTCTGAAGCTCCGGCTAAATGGATATGAGCTCATTATGGTGGGTATGGGGCTATCCATAGAATCTGGTAGGTTCACTTGATCAAGATAAATATGTCGTCATTCATAAGATATTCGAGTGACTAACGAACGATGCGACCGAATTTTATTACAGTTTGGCAGATACTTCCATCTACAAGACACAAGGTATGCAAACCCACTGTTATTGTGCCCACCGTTCAGCTGGGAGAAACAAGATCCTCATCATGCAACACCCCAGGTTTAGTCTACGTGTTTGCCCATCGGGGTCTCCTGAGACTTGACATGTCTTAAATTTTACGACTATTCAACCTTCTTTCTAGTCTTAGGGAAGTACCGCGACGTGTCTCCCAATGGTAGTTCAACGAGAGAATCCTTCAGCAGCAGGTGAAATGTCAAGTACCTAGAAGCAGTAGCATCATTAGTGGAAGTTGTGTAGATAGAATAAAAGTCTTACCATCCGACAAGGCCTGCGAGAAATGCAAACACTCCTCCGGACTTCTTGAGACCGACAGCGGCAGTGGCGTGGCCGTCTGCTAAAGCGAAGTAGCTTGCAGCAACAAGTACGAAACACAACTCGACGAGAATGAAGATGAGGATGTAAACTACGTTCGTTGGGAGAGTCGCGACCAGGTACGCCAAGACGAAGACCGACCAGACTGGAGAAAGACAGATGTCAGATGTTTTCTTCCCAAAAACGGATTGGCACCTACTGATCATGAAAAGACCAAGAGCATTGTTGAGCTGTTTTGTGTCATCACCGTAGGCTGCAGCAACTCCAAACGAGGGAGTTAGGATGGCACCGTATCCCGCGTAAAACAGGCCTTCAGATCGTGTTAGATGATTCATCGAACCTGCATGGCGAATCGCGTGTGTATGTCGATTTTGAACGAACTTACCAAAGGCACTGAAAACACTGTAGCCAAAGCCATTTCCGCCCGTAAGCTCCCACTGGGCCGAGATGAAGAGCCCAAAAGCAGCGAGGAAGAAGAAGTTTGCGATGTAGACGTTCGTAGTTGTGACTCCTCTCCACTCCATCAAACTCAGCGAAAGTGTCGTCAATGTCGTCGAAAAGGCCCCGATGGGTAGCGAAGTCTGAGTAACGTATCGTTAGCTAGAGTAGCTCCATTGAGCTGAAAACCTAGACTTACAGCAGCTGTAGGCAGAGGCCGCGGTGCCGAAAACCTCGGATAGCTCAAATGGACGGTCTGCGACCTTTCCAGAGCCGGCTCGGGCCTGACGGTCTCAATTGCTTTCTCGCTCGTCCCATTTTGAACCGATGAGTGAATAGACATGTTGACCTAAAGGAGTAGCAGAAAGAAGGAGGATGGTGAAGCTGAGTTGAAGTCTCGAAAGTGACGAAGACTCCAGATTATTGGATCACTCATACGAAGTCCAACTTGAAGGCATACTTGAACTAGAGCCCGACAGCGCAGTGTCCGAAAAAAAAGAAATTGAGTTTATCTGCGTATCCCTGTCTGCTGAACGCAACCTTGCGAATCAGACGCATCTTCGGCAGTTGAACTAAAATAGAGTTCGCAGATCTAAGGAGAATCACACCTCGCGCAATCCGTTGGAGAAATGGGGTCTTCGAAACGTGGGGAAAGCTCCAATGGGCTGGGATCTGCCAGTCTCGTCATTCTGTCAACAATGATGCAATTGCCTCAGAAGATGGAGTAATTTGATACACGCACCACACTTCTTACGATCGAATGTGCTGTTATTCGTCGTAGCCCGCCTAAGCTGGGGTTATCTGAGCTTTGACGTGCATCGTCTGGTTGCACTGGAGATCACGACAGAGCTGCTATGATGTTGACATTCGACCGGACCTTCCAAGATTACGCGGATTTCAACCAATTAATTAAATCGAGCAAACTCTCTCAGAACCTTTGATACATCTCGGCAGAGCGGAATGGCAGATCTCTCGTCCCAATTATCGGGGTAAACAGATCGGCCCCCAATGCCCACATCCCATTGCCTTCAAAGCTGCAAGGGCGCACGCACCTTTGTCGCTCATGCAACACATGTTCGTGATTCTTGCATTCCATCTGGCCGGGACACTTAGCCTCGAAAACAACTGGTTCACCTTTCAACTTCAGTTTCGAGACGTCTTGCGCCTTTTTTGCTGAACATCTTTGGTCTACACCCACATTGCGACCTTTCACTTAGATACCTATCAAGACAACATGGCCCAGCCGCACCCTCTCAACACCGACCCTGACCGTCTGAAGTTCGCGTACGTACTGCCTTTTACGAGATTAAGATAACTTAGCTGACTAGCCTCTCAGCTATTGGGTACCAAACGTCTCAGGCGGCTTGATTATTAGCAAGATCCCTCAAAGGACAAACTGGGACCTCGCCAGCAATATCAAGTACGCCAAAGCCGCGGAGAATGCAGGCATCGAATACGGCCTCACTCAAATTCGGTTCACGGCGTCTTACGGAGCCGCGAATCAACACGAGTCTGTCTCATTTTCCCAGGCCATTCTCCAATGCACAGACACCATCAAGCTCATCGCTGCCATCCTCCCGGGTCCATGGAACCCCACCGTTGCTGCTAAGCAGATCGCCAGCATCGACCATTACAGTAACGGCAGAATCGCCGTTAATCTGGTATCAGGTTGGTTCAAGGTAGGTTTCCTCGAACCGCAAATCGAAATGATTGATGCTAACGCCTTTTCAGGGCGAGTTCACGGCTGTGGGTGAGTGGTGGCTTGAGCACGCAGAGCGATACCGCCGCACCAATGAGTTCATTCGCTGCCTGAAGGGTATCTGGACCGCGCCCGAAGACACCGGCTTCACGTTCGCAGGCGACTTCTACCGCTACAGAGACTACAGGCTCAGCCCGAAGCCGGTACAGAAGCCCCACCCGGAGATCTTCCAAGGTGGCAACAGTGACGATGCTCGCAACAACGGCGCCGAGGTCAGCGACTGGTACTTCATGAACGGCAATGACCTGGACGGTTTCCGTGACCAAATTGCAGACGTGAAGGCTCGGGCGGCCAAGGTTGGGCGTGAGAACGAGGTGCGATTCGCCGTCAATGGCTTCGTCATTGTTCGCGAGACGGAGGAAGAGGCTGTTCGGGTGTTGCAAGAGATCCAGGGCAAGGCTGACAAGGAGGCCGTCAATGCCTTCCGCGACGCCGTTCAGCAGGCTGGAGCTAGCACTTCGAACAAGACGGGAATGTGGGCCAACAGCAAGCTTGATGACTTGGTCCAGTACAATGACGGCTTCAAGACGAAGCTTATCGGAACGAAGGAACAGGTTGCAGAGCGTCTGGTGCTGTTAAAGAGTCTGGGGATCAACTTGGTGCTCACTGCGTTCCTCCATTACGATGAAGAGATTGAACAGTTTGGGAGAGACGTTGTCCCATTGGTAAGACAGTATGAGAAGGAAGGTCGGGGAAAGGATGCGAGCTTTGAGATCGAGAGAACTGGGGACGTGTACAAGAAGAGGTAAACTGATGAAACGTTTATACTGAACGAATCTTATAGTTAGGTTTCTAATTGTCATGCCCCAAAATTTATCATTCTACGTGGGGAAGATGTGCATTATGATGACCTTGCTGTTCCAACAAATGTCCTTGAACATGTCCAAGCCAATGAGTAATTAATTGAAAAACGCCCTAAACCTTCAGCTCATTTCTGATGGCATTGTAGCCTTCCAACAGAGTTTGCGCTCTTTCGGAGCTTCTAACCTTGAACTGCATTGGAAATGGCAGTGGTTCTAAGATCACGTTCGAGTTCGTAGCCTCCGTGTCGAAGGTCACGTCTTTACCGGTCGCAGGGCATTTCTTCAGACTCATGTCGAAGGCCCAGCAGACAGCGGCTCCCGCGACGAACATCTCATCGTCCACGAGGTTCTGGCCGAGGCAAGTTCTTCGTCCCCAGCCAAATGTGTGCATGCCCACGCCATCCCTGAAATTGGGATAACGGCTCAGGGGTTCTTGATACGTCGGGAAGCCCGGTTCTAGGTATCGATCGGGTCGGTAGTGGTCAGGGTCAGGATACTTTTCGCGGACACGGTTGATATTCCTGAAGAAAGGATCATCAATACAGCTCCCCAAAACGGATAGACATGGACTTACCATTCACAAGCAAGAATGATGGTGCCCTTCTCAATTTTGACACCGTTGAACTCCGACTCTTGTTCGCATTGATGTGGAACACCTTCAAATTGGTTAGCAGCTGCTTTGCATGGACACAGCCTTAGGAAATGAAATTGCATTACCAAGAGGAACACCGGATCTCCAGCGGAGTGTCTCCTTCAAGCAAGCCCTCACCGTCGGAAGCTCTGCGAAATCGTCCCTGGTCGGCATCCGATCACCGCAAACCCTGTCGATCTCATCTTGGCACTTCTTCAGCCATTCAGGATGAAGCGCCATGCACATCAAGAAGAACTGCATAGGTCCAGAGATCGTCACTACCCCTACAAGGCATTGGAAGCCAAGCATGCAGGCCGCAAAGTCTTCATCCTTTTCACTTTGCATTAGGGTCTCATTGCCTGCCTTCTGCAACTGCTCGAAGTATCGGTATGTCCAGGTATCGCTTGGCAGCTCGCTTCTGCGGTATCGTGCCTTGGCAAGGCGGAACGATCGCAGCCACCATGCGCGCTGGTTCTTCTCCCGCGCCACCTCGTGGTTGCGCCAGGGGTTGTACCGTATGAGGTCGCCAAGGTGCCACAGAGGGGTCATGGTGTTGACCACAGGGCCAGACACTGACATTTGTGTCAGTGTTGCGATGGCGCTGTCACCGTACGCCTTGCCGAGAGAGGCGTCATCCCAAGCAAGGCGGCTGATGATCCGCCCCGTTAGCTCGCGGGTGTTACCGTGAAACTTTTCAGGGTCCAGCAGCAGTGTGACAAGCCAGCGCTTGACTTCATTTTCGATATGGCCGTAGAAGTGCTGCTGGTGTGCTGCAGCCATTGCGGCATGGACCCATTTGCGTTGGAATTTCCAAGTGTCTGGTCAGGTGAAGCTCAGTCAGCTTCTAACCTTACTCCTTGATAGTGTCGCGACTGATGAAAGCCCACCACTTACCATGCCGATCCATCAATGCAGAGTAGGCAGGTCCCAGTTTGTGGTCAATCAGAGCCCGGATCTGTGGTCTGCCGGCGAAATTGTTACCATTTTTGACGAGAAGCTCTTGAGCCATCTCTTCGTCGGAGATGATAACAAACTTCTGGCCAAGCATGCTAGTCTGGTAGATTGGACCGAACTCATCGGCCCATTCTTTCAGCTTCAGCCACATAGCAAATCTGGGTAAGTCATGAACACGACCGACGATGGGATACTGTTTGGGACCAGGGAACCTGGCAGACTTCTTGGGGCCTTTGGCATCGTGTGTCGACGCTTTGCTAGACCATCCAGATAATCGGCGAAGAGAGGAAAAGAGGAAGCCTGGCACCACGAGGATGCCCAGGTAGAATATGACCAGAGCAAAATTGTCCATCTCTCTGAAGAGAAGTCTTGTGTATGCAGTCTGGGCTGGTAGCGACGATATGAAGAAGCTAGGTGCGCCTTTGCGAGACAGAGAGAGCGCGATCTTGAACCTAGATATACAAGCTGGAGGATCGTCATCCGCAGGGCGAGACCGTTTCCAAGGAGCTGGGTGGGCTATGGAGCACCCACTCGCGCGCGTTTACACAATGTCACCTACCCTGTCTCTCGTCTGATGCCTGGCTGCCTGCTGAACCTCTGTGCCGCATCTGGTTTCGTAAGTGGCATCCACTGAACATTGTATACACGACCGGTGAAGTGGTATGGAGTCGCTGATCTTGACTGTACCGGGCATATCTGTTCTGGACCCGTTCCTCAGATCCACATGTCCAGCAATACCACCCTCCGTTGTTCATAAGCTAGGAATGCCGGGAAACCGCTCGGCCCAATGGTGCATCCTCTGGATGACTAGATTCTGCGAAGGGGATGATGCCTTGGCCCGAGCTGATGCGAGCATCATAAACGAAAAGCCTTGCAACACCCCCCACCAGCTGAGCCGACACGATGGTGCATGTCTCAAAAGCACAGCGGAAGACATTTGGTGACTGATCCGAAGGATGGTGCGCAGGGATGGCCATCCAGATAATATGCGCCTGAGCCAATACAGTAATACTGTCGATTTTAGGATGACGATCTGTGATCAATTTTCCACATCAGGGAACATGTTGCATGAGTCCGCGAGGGCAGGAAACAACAGTTTTGGTTATATTCCGGCATGTCAGTCTCGCTGCCCTAGAGGAAAAAGCTTGTAAGCATTTGGCAAATTGATTGTAACCAAGATTTGCTATTGGATTGTGAAAAAGCGTGTATTCCGCTTACGAGACCATGTATGAGAAAAAAGGTGCCTGCTCATTCAGAGACAGGTGGTGTACGACCTTGCAGATGCCTGCTTCAGACTAGACATGAATTCAGTCAGCGAGAGAGACACCTTGCTGCAGGGAGGCTCCGAAACCTGGACATAGACTGGGCCTTCAATCGTCGAATCCGAGGATGGATGGCGAGCTTACATGCATCCCTTTCGCCGCAAGTGGGTCGTTCCAACGGGGCTCGTACGAGCTGGTGACTTCATGGTACCTCTACGCCTCTTTGAAATACGGCTCGTCATATTTGAGATTAGATGCTGAGTTTGGGGCTAGTTGGTAAGTTAAGCTAGGCAAATGTGTTTCCCTGAGATGGGATGACAGGTGCAGGCAAAACGAATCGGAGGGCTACTCGACGCCGAGTATGACATCGGGCGCGATGCCACGGACCGCACTTAGCTGTCACATTCATCTGAAAGCCCAGGGATGAATGCGGGGAACCAAATACCAGTTGAAAAACGTAAGGGCATCCTTTCGGTCTGTGACCCCAACTCCGGACAGATCGGTGGGGAAGTCCGGACGGGTGGGGCCGACGCCGGATCTTCATAAGCGTCTTACGGAATAAGCTTCCATACTGGTTCAACAGATGGTGGCGTTAAACCGGTCAAGCCACCCTCCCACACAACCAACGTCTTTTTCGATGTCGTTGTTCTGAAACTGTAATCGCTCAATGGTGTGGGAGAGAGATGGGATGGCACTCGTTCCTGATCTCCACTATCCAATGCAGCCACAGTTTGAATAAGGCTCCCCAGTGGCTAGCAAGGAGTAAGCTGGTTGTCAATATCGGCCCCCACGGTTGATCATTTCGGGTCCGAGAGATACCTCATCGACAACGAGGTGATTGAGGACATAACACGTTGCTGCATTTTTGAAAAGAGATGGTGTGACGCTGCAAAGCCTGGAATGTCCGCCAAAATATCACCAAGTCCACTCTTCGTTCGATCAAAGAGCCTCGATCATATTCGGGGAACCAATTACATCAAATCGAAATCATGTAATAAGCATCAGCACATCAAACGAGATGTCTTGCAGCTTAGAGACTTGACTTTCTGTTTCTGACCTTGATGATTGGATGTCCGTGTCCTCTGAAGTATCTTTCCAGCTCCGATGAGCAGGCTTCGGCGACACGTCCAGCAATCGACTGACCAAGGTTGTCTTGGAATCGAATGATCGAGATATCATCCGGTACCTTTCGGTCCCGAACGGCGTGTCATAGTAAGACATGCAGCCTGCAGTCAAGACAATGGGAGACAGCACCCGCTACCCAAAGTGCTAAGATAGGCGTTGAAGGGCTTCGGGCCTCGCTTTTTCGCCTTTCAGTCTCACTCGTTTGCCGAGCCCACTATTCTTACAAACGCTGTTGGTGGCAATTGTCTCAAAGATAAGCCTTACAGATGCTTGTCAGTTGGAAGGGGGAAGAGTGATGGGGATTCCTGGGCCAAGAAAGATACACTCTATTTATGCATAACTCATTAACCTATGCATTCTGATTATACATATAACCTTCCGTGCAGTTCAGGCTTAATATGACCCCTTTTTATAGATACAAGGACTACATTAGTCAGAAACATGCACACATCAATCAAGCAATGAACGAAATGATCGCTAGCTATACTGTTGGCCGGCAACTAGCTACTAGGTCTTTGAAGGAGAAACTCAGAAAGCCATACTCGGCAGTCAGCTACAAGACCAAAGAGACAATATGTAAGCCGGCGCTTTTAGCGAACGACTCATTGAGTCCCTAGATGGATTGGATGGGTTGTCTATCAGGTGATGACATTCTACATGGAATCCAGGCGTCGCCTGAGTAGACCTGACAAATTCCGCTTGTTAATAGTAGCCATAGAAGCGGCAGCCAGCTTAGCCACTGCAGCACTGGTGGTCGCAACGAACGTCCTTGGTTGGGGCATCAGTAACACTGACATGGGAGAAATAAGGTATGTAGAATAACTCACGTTGCCGACAGTAGTTCTAGACGGGCCAAGGGAACGGTCGAAGCCCTTAGCCTTGCAATCCTTGTTCAGTTCTTCAGCAATACCGCTTGGGAAGCAGTTGCAAATAGAGCCGGTGCAGTACGTGATCGTTGAGGAGCATCTTTGACCCATAACGCCAGCTGCAAGCAGCGTGAAAAGGAATTTGGAAAGTTGCATAGTGCAGTTTGTTGAGATGTAGGTGTAGATGATTGAGATGATTGATTGCTGTTAGTGTAGGCACAGAAACAGTAAAGGTGATCGAAATCCTGGGCTACTTATACCTGCGAAGCCATCAACTGGTTCCGCCTATTCTAGAGCTTTGAGACCAAGACACTGTAACAACGGATGATTGACGAGACCTGGCAATTTAACCGACGGTCCTACCGAGTAAGGATGTCTCCAGAGCCTTGACTTGACTCGTAAACGATCTCAAGCTCCTGCGGTAAGATCACTGGGGCTGTCCCAGAACTCATCCCATGGGACAACTTACGACATGGAAGATCTCCCATAGCAGATCGTGTTCGTCTGACCAGTTAACCATTTCTTTCTAAATACCAATTCGTCTATATCCTTATCAGAGTTATCTGCTTGCAGCACATCGGTTAACTCGCTGGCAGGAGGTGTGTTGCCAACGCTGAAGTTTATATTACAACGGCCAATATCTCAGGTATATCGAATGCAGAACCAGCCCCTTTACCTTACATAAGTGCAGAAACACATGCAGCACCGCTTATTCCCATTTTCTTTCATAATCAAGAATCGACTCTGTCACAGTCTCACACACGAAGGGGTACGCGAATACCACGGCACGCCGAACGATGAGACGCTCGTTTGCGTCATGATAGGAACCACGAGAAATAGAGTTTATTTAAGTTACAATACTCGGATAACTCACCATAAATATTATCTATTTACTTTCTTTCCTTGATAGCCAAGGCGGGTGCTCCTGAGATGCGGAGCTATCCGCTGGTTGGCCGTTAGCCTACCGACTCATGCAGCCTGCAATAACGAGCAATTCAGCGGGTTGAGTCTGACTCACGAGTCACAGCGTAAATCTCCAAGAAAGATAGCTGCTTAATAAGGGGTAAGCCGGTGGTGAGTGCAGGCCCCCATGGCTGATCATTCCGGGTGCGAAAGACACCTCGTTAACAACGAGAGATGACTGAGGACAGTGTAAGTTGTCTATATTTGTGATTGAGAGATGGTGTGACAAGCCTTGAAGGTACCTGCTAGCTACGCTGGCTTGTTGTAGCATGCCAGCTAGCCACTCACAATTCTCAAATGCGCCACCCTAGACAGCCACTAAGCCGAGATAATGCCCACAGAGAAGAAGGGCTTGGTAGTTTGATCTTTCCCTGCATCCACGATTATGACCTTCACTTTCTGAATATTGAGCCAGTGAGGTTACGCAATACTTCGAGATCGCAATCTAGAGCTTGACTAATTACTATTTGCCGTCTCTCAAAAAACATATCGGAACCCCCTCTTCTCATAATCGGTCAGATCTCCGAGCTGATCGACAACAGTGATGTCTACTTCCGTACCCTCCTTTCTATCCCTGATTCTGTTTTCAATCATGCATCCAACTGCATACGCTACCATGCACGCGATAGCCACTACCTCAAACGCCATGATGGCGCTGTATCCCGTCGTATAATTGGGAGCTTCTCTCTCGATAAAGATTTGAGGCCCAATGATGTTGGCAATGCAGTAAGCCAAAAACACCGTGGCATTAATGGTAAGCTTTTTAGTGTGGCCTGACACGTTCGCCATTGGAAGAGATAGTGCTGCATATTTTATCAGAAAGCATGCCCAAGTGTGGGTGGCATTGCTTACCTGTAGCGTATGGACCCCAGAAAAAGTAGAAGAAGTAATATGCCATCAGCCGGCCTACCTTGTTGTCATGTGGGAGTTCTGCCAGCTGTCAGTGACGGCATTCAGGCAACGGAGAGGGTACGATACCTTTGATAACAATCGAGCAGATCAGGGGAACGAGACAAGAAAGTCCTGCCGAAAGGCATCTCTTGTTTGTCAACCACCTTTGTGGTATGGCTACCATGAAGCCAGCCAAGCTTTGCATCACCCCCGTCGGCATACCGAGCAATGTAGTTTCCAATTTTCCATACCCGAGTCCCGAGACAATCTGGGCTGCGAAGGTCACCAGCCCACCTGTCGGTACGTTCATACTCAAGAAGAAGATGAAGAGGATGTAGGTCTTGTAGTCGGTAAAGGCTTCTCGAACTTGGTACCACTTTAACTTCTGTGAGGTACAGTCAGTCCTCATGTTCAAAGGCACTGAGGAGTCAACTTGCTCTGTTCTCAATACCGGTCATATTATCCTTGACTCGGTCTAGTGCGATGTACTTGTCTTTGCCCGTCAGGAAATTATCGGCAAGTGGCGAGTCAGGAAGCCAGACGAGTAGAATGGCTCCCCAAAACACAGTGAAGCCTCCGATGACGAGAAACAAAAGCCGCCACGACGCAATACCAGTCTTCGCATGCCCTATGCCGTATGAGACAACACCTGTCACAAGCTACAAGGATGTTAGCGGTACGCTTCTCTGGTTATACCGGGTTAACAGACGCTAGAGAACCCTGTGAACGTAATAGCCATGCGGACGGGCTGCTCTGATTTCTTGTACCACATGGTGTTCAGAATCGTAACGGCAGGAAACAGTGGGGATTCAAGAACACCCATCAGGAACCGTAGAACCATCAGGCCAGCTGCATTCTGAGCGGCTGCAAGACACATGACGCAGCCGCCCCACGCTACAACCGCCGTGCCAACTGTCTTGCCGACCGGAAGCTTTTGAAAGACGGCATTCGCAGGGTATTCGGCGATCAGCCATCCGAAGTAGAAGATTGACCCAACTGTTGAACAATGAGCAAGCCGATTGGATGAGGGACGCAAGAACTTACCCCAGCTGTATTGTTGTCCCACCAGATGCGTGTCCTCGTTCATGCCGTAGAGTGCAGCATTCGAAATGAGGATTTTCTGGGCTCCGAAATCAGTAGGTGTTACTCCTAAAAGGCTCAATGAGCAGGCTGAGATTTTGACGAACATCAACCGCGGCGATGATGGTCGTTCCCACGATGAGAGGCATCAAACGCCAGTCTATCTTCCGTAGAACTCGTTTGGCTTCAGAGGCTTCATAGTTGGCCCATTCAACTTCATGTTCTCGAAGAAAGATGGCTGCTTGATCGTCCAAGTCGTTCGCATCTTTGATGTCGTGGACTGAGCCAGCTGTGGGCTCCTCCTGGCACGGCTCGATACCAGATCCCGTCTTCTTGATGGACATGGTGTTTGCAATGCACGATTTGATGCGACCTCAGTTCCTGTAGATGTCATACGAAGCCCCCGAGACTTGGATGATGTCTCTTTAAGAGAAGAGATCTCGAACTCCGTGAAATTGGAATGAAAGATTTGCCTGGAGGGAAGATCTGATGACTAGCTTCAGGTAGCGTGAAGCGTCCCGAGCTACTAGCAGCTCTCACTTCCCATTCCTTATCTTAGGCACGTAATGTCGAGATAATCCGTCCTTTGCGGGCGTCACACCGATCAGGAAGAGGTGTTACGACAACGGCGGCGTACATTCGTCTGTCGGAGTTTTGTCCGACGTTGTGTGCGGGGTTTGCGAGCCATTGCGGGAGGCGGACTGCGTCTTGCCCAACTCTCGCGACTGGAAATGATGCCAACTAAATCACTTTTTCGTCCTTCAAATATAAAATCCCCTGATTATAGACTTAGTTTCAACCTCCTATCATACAGTACCAGCACAAACAATACCCCAATCCAAACTCTCCTTCATTATGGCCATCCTTGACTACGAGTACGACTCCAACGCCTTGACACCAGAAGTCAAGCGAGGAATTGACTTTCTCTACGAGGCAGCAGACAGAAAGGAGGCGTGCGCTGCTTGGGCGGGTTGCTTCAGCAAGAATGCCAAGCTCATTAAGGGTGACTATGGGCCCACTGGAGTTCCTGGTAAGCCTCCCGTTGCTTCACATCACACTTGATTCAATTCACTGACAGGGACTTTACGTCAGAGCTTCAGAAGTACCTCGAAGAGAGCTGGAACAACACCGACTCTCGAGTGCATGATGTTAAGAAGGTCTCGATCATAAACGAGTCACCACTTACTCTCAAAATTGAGGGGGTCACCACGTATCAGAGATCCGGGGGAAAGGAACAGCAAGGTGAATGGACGGCAGAGCAGAGCTATGTCGATGAGGATGGATGGAAGAAGATCTCCCAGTACAAGATCAACTTCGTAGGTTTAACGTCATGACATGAATATTGCTTGGTGTTTAACACTCACTTAGAACATGCTCTATTAAAGACGCCAATTGCGTCCGCTACACAGGTAGAAGAATATCCCGGCTATTTACTAGCGAAGCTCAAGTCAGAAATTGAACAAATCAAAGCCAGCGATTGACATATTTGGCAAAAGATCCAATCCTTCATAATTCAGGTCCTGGTGCTGAGGTCGATTAAGCATCTCCTCCATCAAGCTGATGACCGCTTGATGAACATGCTGTACGCGTAGCTCAACGATGTAGCTCTGCATCCGAGTCTTCCTCTCCCCCTCTAGGGCATATGGCGAACACAATGACTGGGATGACGGCGAGTCGAGCATGTTCGAATTACATGCTTGGCCACCGAAGGCAGGGCCATCGAACACCGACTCCGCCAGGAGCTGAAACGACTGCAGAAATACTAGAGCCCGAGGCCACCTGATCGAGAACTTCTCCATAGTTCTGTGGCAGCATTCAAAGCCGGAGATAGTATCAGGAAGACTGAAGTTTGCCGTTTTAAGGAGCGGTGGCGTCATTGCGTAACAGTAAAGTAGAATGATCCCGAGTCTGAATTGGTACATCAACTGTAATTAAGTCAGCGGACTAAGACAACCCGTGGAAAAGCTTGGACTTACGGCTGTCCAAGTCCGGTATATCACCGAGTCATTCTCCTGAGATGACAGAAAGGTACCACACGCCTCGCTGCAGCATTCCACTAATTGACCAACCTCTTCGTGGCCCATCATGCACGGCCGCTCTTGCACCAGGATAGATAAGCTGTAGTCGTACAGTTTTGACAGTGAACTAGGTTCATGGTAAACCAAGTCGTCTTTCGGGCTTGAATTCGTGACCGTCTCGATTTTCTCTTTCCATAATTGAAGTTCATCTTTCAAGCGCAGTCGGCTAGTTTCTCTGAATGGATCTGAGGGATCCAGCTTCTGAAGCTTCTTGTTGAAGTGACGAATCTTTGATTGGATACACCTGAGTTGGAATATGTGACTGTAGAATCCCGTCTCCGTTTCACCGGCAGGCATTTGGGAGGCATGTTGAAAGATCTGAAGTCTGTTAGGTTTGAGGTATATGCAATGAAAGGGAGATTATAGGTCACCTTTTCATCTAGAATCTCGAACATGAAGGGCTGGGGATATGTCCAAGCTGACGCCACGACCTCGTTCAAGATGTGGGAGCTCATAATAGTCATGTTACGGGTGTGCTCAAAGTCCACGCAAAGATTTCCAGCGTAAAGATCGACCTCATGTTTGTCATCCATCAGATTTGCACAATTCATCAGAACCAACATAACACTTCCAGAAACAGGGTCTGGCGATGGTCCATGAAATGCATACAGAAGCATCAACAAGGAAGCTTGGGTTCTGATCAGCGGTGACGAATGTCCTGTAACATTGCCCAGGTTCCTGTTCATAGCTTCGTCATGAAGTCTGGATGCATGTACAAGGTGCGGACAGTCTGCGCGGAAGGAGCTGCTCACTAGAGCACCGATGGCTAACACCATTTGAATGACAAAATGGTGACATGTCGCAGCCTCAGACAAACTGGATGAGTGAGTCGCATACGCGTCTCGCCAAGCTACTTCGTCAATGAACGTCCATTGAGGCTGCACATGCCGGAAGTAGATGTTTGTATAGTGGTCCAGCCAATCTTTTCCAATCATTGACAAGACAGTTTGGGGAGTGGTCATGGAGCTGCCGACAAGCGAGTTGCATGAGAACCGACGCGGCGGTCCATCATTCGGGATGTTGATCTCTGGACCCTCCATATCGACTCGACGTTGTTCTGATTGTAGAACCAGACGTGCACCTCGCGAGGTGTCAGAGATGTATCCACCACCATCAAATGGAGAAGCAGAATCATTAGCTCCGTCGGAGTCCTCCGCAGCTTCTTGGGTGCTAATACCGTGGGTCATCATGTCGGTAGGAGGCGGAGATCTTTGCGCTTCCGCCGCGTGCGCCTCCAGCTGGCGGAGGTATGCCACCGGAATTGTCGCAAATGAGCCGGACTTTCTTGCGCCATACGGGACGCACTCCGATCCGCTTCTTCTGCATTCGCCGCATGTGGGCACTGCGTGGTCGCAACGTTTCTTCCGGGTCCGGCAACGAATACAAGCGATCCTCCGTGGGTTCTTGCTTGCTGGATGCATTGTCGAATGTCAAGTCATGGTGTGTTGTTAGATTGCGAGCATGAATTGGACGTCCGACAGTGAGCCTGAGGAAGACCCGCGTGAGTGATCGGCTCTTCAGATATCGGCGTCTCAGTCCGAAATGCAGCAACGATAAGCTTAGTACTCTCTTGAGAGGAGATAGTGCGTATCAAAAGGACATGCAGGCGTATCAGACACCCTTGTAATGTCGTGCTGGAATCGCCAATCAATGCCCCAGTATTCGCTGGAGCTCCTAGTGGTTGGGAATAGACCGGGTCAACTGCCGGGGAACCGGCGGACATTGACCGCGTCAAGATAGGCTTTTGCGATGAGCGAACTCGTCACGAAACAACAGACACAGTTCTGACAACAGTAGCCTGTTATTAATTTTCAGTAGGATGTCACCGTGAATACGCCTATTTTTGGACACATCGCGTGATCGATATCTCCTCCATGCACCTCCCCCGCACTCTGAGCCCCCGCAGTTCCATGGCTGTTGATCCACGTTGCTAACGTCTGTTAGTGCCACTGGCCTCCGCCAAGATGGCGGGTGTGGCGGGCTAGGCTGAATGCTGTCGGACAAAAGTCCGACAACGTTGGAAGCGACCATCATTGGCGGCGACATGGGCTGCTATTTCATGACAAGAATACTAGCAGAATAGAAAGCTGTGTGCCAAAGTAATCGTTTTGGGCGATTGTAAAAGTCATAGTTACTCAAGCGTCAACATTGAGATATCAAAGTAATAATCACGATGACTTCTCCACAGGAGCCAAAGTCATACATCAATCTCCAGCTGGGGTAGGATAAGATAAGATAGTTGACCTATTCCAGTACTCAACGGCTAACACCATAAACAGCTGGCCTTCACCATCACTGTTCCCCAAGAAGCAATTAGCCGACGCTGCCCAAGCAATCCTTCTCAATGATGACATTGCGGCCAAGGCTCTAGTCTACGGTCCTGACCAGGGCCAAGACTCCCTCAGAGAAGCTCTCGCCAAATGGCTCAGTGATTTCTACCAACCTTCAATTGGCTCAATATCTCCGCAGCGCCTGTTTATCACCAACGGAGCTTCGGCAACGCTCTCCATGCTTCTAACAAGATTTACCGACCCGGAGTTTACTAGGTGTATCTGGATGATCGAGCCAACCTATTTTCTAGCATGTCCATCATTTCAAGAAGCTGGTTTCGAGGGCCGAATGCGGGGAGTCCCTGAGGATGACGAGGGCATTGACCTTGACTACCTTCGTAAGGGACTGTTGGAGATGGAAACCAGAGAACCACCCGACCCCGCTTTCGTTAGCACCGTGGTGTCTCCAAAGGTCTACCGACATGTCATTTACGTCGTCCCAACCTTCAGCAATCCCAGCGCAAAGGTCATGTCTCTCCGCCGCCGGAAGCAGCTGGTCGAGCTGGCCCGGCAGTTCGACGCCCTGATCATCGCGGACGACGTGTATGACTGGCTCCGCTGGCCCGCAGACCATGGAGCATCCGGTTCATCTGAGCTTCCCCCACCTCCCCCGAGACTCGTTGATGTGGACCGCGCCTTACCAGGCGGCAAACCCTGGGGCAACACGGCGAGCAATGGTTCCTTCTCCAAGATCGTCGCGCCAGGGGTGAGAGTCGGGTGGGTCGAGGGGTCTCCTGAGATGGCGAAGGAGTTGTGCAAACTCGGGTCCGTCAGATCGGGAGGTTGCCAGGGACATCTGTCGTCCATGTTCATGGGCCATCTTTTGAGCAGTGGGGCGTGGATGAGCATATCCGCGGGAAGCTGATTCCAACGTATCAGGAGCGGTACCATGCTATGATAAAAGCTATTTCGGAATATCTGTCTCCTGTGGGTATCACTGTTGCGCCAAGGCAATCTGAGGTTGACAATGATGAACCCGGCATAGTTGGAGGATTCTTTGTCTATCTCAACTTACCTCGTGGCTCCATCTCGGGCAAGCAGTTTGCAGAGTTCGCTCTAGAACGCCACAATGTGCGAGTAGCACATGGTGAAATGATGACTGTGGCAGGTGACCCGGGCAGTCTGGAGCGGGCAATGGCCAGCTTTGGAGTTGGATTTAGGTTATGCTGGGCGTGGCATGACGTGATTGGGATCCAGGATGGCATCATGAGGCTAGCCGCAGCATTCAAAGAGATGCAAGGGAATCCATAGAATAAGGTTGCATACAGTAGGACAAAGGGTTCCCTTCCCCAGACGAATATCATGCACCTATCCCCAGCTTCCGATTAATACTGACATTCAACTATTTCGTGCTTTCGTTCATAGAATGAGGGTTGACTAGTTTCTCAGTCAAATCGTATTTTCATTAGTCCCAAGATTAGTTGATCAAGCCCTCTAAGCCCGAAACACACACAATGAAAGACCATCTCTGCTCATCTCAGAAGCAAAGCCATGCTCCCGACTACTAATACTTCGACAAACAGCCACCAAATCATATCGCTCATAAACACGACGCCCTCACGATCGGACGGCTGCCACAGGTTGTCGGTCCAGCAGCAGGCTCTCGGACCGCTATCCGCTGGCTCTTCTGGCACTCGGTGTGGATCTTTCCAGATTTTATTCCGCACTGGATGGATCATTGTGGACTCGGAACTCCGACCCCCCTGTCCTGATGTCGATCGATTGCAACATAAGCCTCCCGCTGCCCCCTCTTTCTCTCGCGATGTGGGCGAGCAGCCCACCAAATCAATCTTATCAATCTAATCAATCAATCAATCTCAATCGATCCTTTCAAGCACGGCGGCCCGGTTTCTCGCGTGCCTCATCAGTAGCACTAGCATGGTGTTTGAGACACGCGCGTGGAGATCCATCACATTGAAAAATTTTCTGGCCCCATAAGATGGACCAAAAGCCTCATCGGCAGTTCGTTATTCGGAAGGTTCCTGCCTATCTAGGCTATCGACACCGAATAGCCCACCAGGAATGGTGTCACAATACTTTCGGTTGTCATGATACCGTACTGTTCGTTGTGTGATAAAGGCTCAGGTGTTCTTACTTTGAGGTTTGAGAGAAGGTTGTGTCTTGATGCCAACCATCTTAGCCAGTAACTGTGCAGAAAAGCGAGCATGTGATGCTCATTGCTCTCACGACCTCGTTCCTACATGATAGGTATATTCAGCAGACCAGCATGCGATGGGACGTAACCGTCCAAGGTAGGTATTCTCGCAGATGCAAATAGACATCGGGCCCCATTTGAGGCCGATCTAATGCCCAAGAGACACCCCAGAGCCAAGGTACGGCTTTCACCCTTGGCTTTAAAGCTTGGCATCGGGTAGTGGGGGAGTTGCGAGAATTCGCCGTATCCATACCGCTTCACAAGCTCACACTCCAAAATCACTGGTGGCTGATCGACATGCAGGCCGTGGCTTTCAGCTGTCCACATTCAAAATCACGAACCGGGCCGCTCTGGTGGGTCGCAACTACAACTACCGAGAGCCGCGACTGGGGGCTTGATATTTACAGTTGAACCCGAAGGAGGGTCGCGGACTCCTCCGAGCCCCAGTTAACTACGTAACAGACCAGGAGCACCTTTTGGTATTTTGATCTGATAACTTTGCAGCATCACTACCCAATCATTGGAGTTACCCTCTCGACCTAGGAGAGGAAAGTAGTACTGTGGACCGTGGTGTTCGTCCAGCATTGGCTACAGCCCCCCGGTCACAAGTGCCCAACTCTATCTCGGGAATCGAGGTTGCCTCCGACTCCAGAAGGGATCTCCTCAGTCTCATACGTGATTTCGTAAAAGTGCGGCATGGATCGGAAATTGCAGAGTTTGCTGCAGCGCAGAAACACAACTCCACTGATGTGGCTGCTCTCCGGTCTCGGGTCCGCTCCGAGAAGCATTCAGAGATCTGCGCTGAAGATAAATAGACTCCATAAAACATGAAGAATCACAGGCTTCACTGCATGAACAAAACTCTTCCCAACGTCACTTAAAATCATCATTGCTGTGTTGCCTTTGCTTCATTGACCCTTCTACTGCTTCTAGCCCGTATACTACATACACTTGATACCCAACCCCCAGAAGCATCTAGAGATACACGCCGGCATCATGGGCTTAACAGCAGGGGGTGCCTCGAGGCCGATCACCGACGTCTTCACAAACGATACAGACATCGACCGCCGCAAACTCACCCGCGTAGTGCCTATGAAGGTACTCTGCCTAGGTCTCGGACGCACAGGAACAGCATGTACGCAGCCCGTCCCCTCTAACCCCCCAACAAGCCTTTCTAACCCCAAACACAGCCCTCCGCGCAGCCCTCAAACAGCTGGGCTACGTCGACACCTACCACATGCTCAACGCGAGCGCCGAGAACCCGCCCGACTGCCTCCTCTGGAGCGAAGCCCTCGCCGCCAAGTTCGACGGCGTCGGCTCCTTCGGCAAGGACAAGTGGGACGCGCTCCTCGGGCACTGCCAGGCCGTCTGCGACTGGCCGGCCGCCTCCTTCGCGGAGGAGCTCATCGCCGCGTACCCGGACGCTAAGGTGCTTCTCACTACGCGCGACGTCGACCGCTGGCACCAGTCCGCCCTCGGCACCGTCAACTACCGCGCCAACGACCCCTTCCTGTGGGCGCTGTCGTACGTCGACTGGGCGTCCTCAATGTACTACCCGATGCTGCACAAGTACTGGAGCACTATCTTTAAGGGCGACTTCGAGAAGCACGGCAAGCAGGTATTCCTCGAGCACAACGAGCACATCCGTAGTATTGTGCCCGAGGAGAACCTGCTCGAGTTCAGGATGAGCGACGGGTGGGAGCCGCTGTGCAAGTTTCTGGGGTGTCCCGTGCCGGACACGCCGTTCCCGTACGTGAACGAGGGGGACTCGTTTATCGGGCGCACGAGGAGGCGCAACTTCATGCAGCTGTGCAATGTGCTCTTTAGGTGGATGACGTGGGGTATGGCTGGATGGGGCATGTTTTCTGTTGCGCAGACGTGGAATGTTCATAAGTACTTGATGTAGATGTTTCGTGAAATTTTCAGCGTTTGGATTTGGATTATGTTCTTGGAGACCTATTTTATTCTATCTAATGGTGATCAGCGCTGCCGCAAGGGTAATTGAGTTTGTCTTGAACCCGAAACTTGCTGTTGATGAGATTCTTTTTCGAAGCGTTGATTGATTGACATACTTGTGAGTGTAACAAGTCAATCGCTATACAAAACTTCCCTCGTTCCCGTCGTCCCTGTCGTCGCTATCGTCCCTATTGTCCTTGTTGTTGTCGACGCTTACTACTCGCCCGGATAGCATGGCTCATAGCTGACTACTTAATCCGGCAATTTTGAGGTTATCTAGAACTTCACGCATGCCCTCATAGCCCCCCTCAAAGGACCCATGTAGAGCCTTCAGAGTCCTCTCGTCCCTAGGGGACAGTGGGACCTCGAGAGGACCTCGCGTATGCTGTGCCCGTATATCTAGGCCGCGTAGATAAATAGGGCCGTGACCGATCTACGCTCTCCTATTAAGTCATTATACATATAATAGCACCGAAGCATCAAATTATTCAATTCAATTAAGGGGTGGTGAGTTGACCGCTAAGGTGGTGGTAATGGTGTCCCTTGCTTGAGCAGGTTGAACAGCTTGTCAAGGAACTTGCCCTTGCGGGAGGATCGATGGTGATAAGCTCAACCCAACGTCCCCCTTCACCACACGTATCGGAAGTGAATATTCTCTCTGTCAGTCAAGTCCTGGAAGTCTGTATCGAGATGAACCCTCCGCCCGGCATCCTGATCCAGCTTCTCCCATCGTCTATTCTCGTTCCAGCAGTACAACATGTATAGTATCATGGTGAAGATGCTTAATGCGTACGAGACCAGCATGGCGCCCATGCCAAGCGGATACAGCGGCGCCTGCGAGGACTTGAAGAACTGCGGACCGATGATGTTGCTGATGCAGTACGAAGCAAAGACGATCGCGTTCGTCGTAACTTTCTTCGTGTGTCCGGAGGTGTTGGCGCTGTTGATGCCGAGAGCAACTATCAACAATGGTCAGCTGCGATCCTCCACGAGAAAGGACGGAATTGTATACACACCGATGTATGGCCCGAGGTAGAAATACGACCAATACAAAGCCCACAACCTGCCCGTGTAACTATCCAGCGGCAGGGTATACAACAACACCGTCGCAACCATGCCGACCACAAGGCCCCCAATCACAAACGCCCCCCTCAACTGGCACCCCTTGAACCTCCTCACGCACACGTACACCCCAAAGTTGCACACATAGCTGCTCAGCGTCTGCACCACGCCCGTCGGCATCATAAGCAGCGTGCTCCGCTGCGGCGAGTACCCCAACCCGTTGACGATCAGCGGCGCGAAGTTGGTCAGCCCGCCGTTCGGGATGCTCACCCAGATATTAAACAGAAACATCAGCCAGGTCTTGGGGTCGCGCAGCGTCTCGCGCAGCTGCGGCAGAGAGAAGGTCTTGTTCTCGATGCCGAGCTGGTCCGCGCGCAGGCGCTCGATGGCGACGAAGCGCTCGCGCGGCGTGATGAACTTGGCGCGGACTGGGTTGTCGGGGAGGAAGACGCCGACGAGCGCGCCGTAGAGGATGGAGATGGCGCCGGTGATGTAGAAGAAGGAGGGCCAGGCGTGGGTGGGGAGAAAGCCGACGGCCCAGCCGAGGGTGCCGGTTATGATTGTGGCCAGACCTGGGCGGTGTCTAGTGTGAGTGTGTGAAAATAGAGATGTGTTTCGTTTCTGAGGCGGGACCTACCGGTGTAGAAGAGGCCGGCTCGGATGGGTTGCTCCTCACGGGTGTACCACATCGTCATGATGATGAAGTTCCCTGGAGCGACCGGAGCCTCAAGGGCGCCTAGAAGAACACGGGTGATGACCATTGGGATAAAGCTTCGACAAAACCCGGCGCCAATGAGCACGAAGCCCCATATGATCATAACCGCGCACATGGACTTCGCAATCGGGAGTCGTTGGAGGATCTGCGAGGATGGGAAACACCAAAGCAGATACCCAAACTGCACCACGGCACGCATCAAGTCAGCATCAATCCCTCTCTAAACTCTCAACTCTCAACATGACCAAGGAAAAAGGATGCTCACGTAGAACGCCGACCCAACCCACGCATACTGATCCCCTTTCAACCCCAAGTCCTCCCTCATCCCATACAGCGCCCCCGTCGACGGCGTAATCTTGTCCATGGCAGGCAGCGTGATATTAAGCCACAGGAAAGGAATAAGCCGAAAGTCGAGCTTCCAGCGAAGCTTGACCTCTTCCTGGCGATCATAGTCGGGCTCGTTGGCGAACTGGTCCGCCAGGTGGGCGGCAATGTCTCTGCCCCCGCTGTTGTGGGAGCGGTGCCGGATCGTCTTGGAGTCTCCCTGGGAGACGTCCGTCGCGTCGTGTGTCGTGTCTTTCTCGGCCATCTTGCCGTCTGTGGGTGGCATCTTGCTGCCAAAGTCTACCGCGGAGTGGACTTGAAAGGTGATCCAGATTTCGCACGACATCGACGGTGGTTTAATACAGCCACCAAGAAGCTGCTTCACAGCCAATTGGCTTCCTGACGCTCTATCTCGGCGGTTGATGGACCTTATCTTCAGATGCAGGGGATGGTATCAAGAGGAACATCCCATCGGGCCATTTTGTCCCCGATGGTCGTCGGACCGCCAGCGGGGGCCTACGGAGCGGGCACGACAACTTATCATACCGTTTACCCCGGATTTTCTTGAGTGTGTTGGGGATGGCAGGGGTGATACTCATGCAGGCGACTACGTCACTGTCTAGTCGGTTGATAGGGTGTCGGACAAAAGTCCGACATTCGGGTCATCCGCCGCGGCTACGGACCGCGCCCTATCTTTGAACACAACACTGTGTTGATCTTCACTGAACTGACGAAAACAGAAGCGACAATGACGATAGCACGCGAGCACCAAGCATGTCAGCTCCGTAGGGCGATATCAAAGTATAGTCTCATTGTAACTCCTAACTAAGCAACTCAAGGTGAGCAAAGTAATGACACACCCAACCACTATCGATGATGTCTCCACAGTTTCAATCCACCTAACAAGTGTGCGCTCAGAGTACACATAAACACACAAGACCGCAACATAACATGAATGCTCTCAATCCCTCCCATAGGTACAAACGCAATTACCAGCAAAGAACATCGTGTGTGCATTGGCTCTCGACGATAACCTCGGAGTAGATAGGATGGAGAGCCTGGAAAGCAGATGCGATAGCTGAGTTGTAAGCATCGTTGAACTTGGTATTGTTGCACTCGTTGCAGTGGATTCCGAGACTGCGCTCTGGCCACATCATCTCGTAACCCATATATCCCTTAACCTCGCCACTGATGGTGTCGGTGACGGTGAGGTTGAAAGTTGTAGGGAGGACGACGGTGTCATCAGAAGTGTCGTTGGCAAAAGGGGCTGCTCCGTGGTTGTGGAAGAAGAGACCATCGGAGGCAGGAAGAGAGCCAAGGTTCTTAAAGACGTTGAAGAGGACCGGCAGGATGTTGAGAGGAGTGCCATAAGAGCCTTTGCATCGAGTTATGACCGACGAGTTCATGCGATTGGCGAAGGGGTTCGGGCTGCAGATTCCCTCCGTGGTGAAGATGATGCTGCTGAGGAAGTGATTGATGGTACCATACCAGACAGCAGGACGGGGGCTAACGTCGACCTTGACGCCCAAGATGCCGCCGAAGGACACATTGGCAGGAGGGGCAGGAGGTACGGTGAACACAGTGCCGTTGTCGGGAGTGGTGCCCACAGACCAAGGCGTCGGGCCATCCTCACGGTGGTTGCAGACGAAGGCAGACTGGCAACTTGTGGAGCCGGTTGCACTGGCTCCGACAGGTCGCCCACGGTAGGTGTAGCACCAGAGAGTGGTGCTACCATCCCTGGTGCTCATGGCTTTGCCGGCACGGAGAGGTTCGGGTGTGCCGTCCTCGATCCAGGCAGACCATGTCTCGCCGTTGGAAAAGGTGGCAGATGCACCTTTGAAGTTCCAGGGGTACTCGCCATCGCCGTAAGGCATCTCGACCATCATGTCTGGGGAGAAGAATCCAGTCTCGTCGGAAGAAGGCCAGATGGGGCCCTTGTACCAGTTCATCTGGCGGGAGGTGGACCAAGATTCGTTGAGTGGGTTGGTACCAATGCCGCAGTCAGCCAGGACGAGATTCTGATTGGGGTTGGTCATGGCGAAGGATGGTTGGATGATGGAGGACATGGCCGACGCAGCGTGCAGGGTGTTGATGAGAGCCATTTCGAACGAGTTCAACAGGAGCTGAGGGTAAAACGAGAGTGTTGGGAGTCCAAAAGGTCCAAAATTGAGGTGATAGGTGACGTGGTTCAAGAACGAGAGGTTGAAGGATTGACGTTGTCGAGGTTGAAAGAAGATGGAGGTCAGAGGAAATGGGGAGAAGAGGACTCAAGAAAACCAGAGGCAAAACAGACGTCGGATACCAGTCCTTCCCGTTCGAGTTCGCCGCTTCCCTTCCGAGTCGAGGCTGTGTTTCATACCAAATCACGCCCCCTTGGCGCGAGTTCCGAATCCGAAGAGGAAGCCATGTGGTTGAAGGTAGAGAAGGAAGCGACGTCAATAGCCACGTCAATCTTGTATGTACAACCCACAGACGGAAGCCACTCCGGCAAGCCTTTCCCCGGAGGGCTTGCTGTATGACGGCGCGGAAGGAACACGGCAACGTCCCGACGTTTTGTTGCACCCGCCTGGCAGGCGCATGATCGAGATGGGCGGCGGCGAAGGGCAGGTGTCACCATGCCATTCAAGATGTGCCGGATGGAGGATCTGAGAAATGAACAACCATTCGGTTTTGACTGATCTTTAGTACACAGGAATTGTAGAACTGCAGGCACAGAAATACTAGTCTATTTCTAATGAGTAGCACCATTCTATAGCTATGTGATATTAGAACTACGGTCGTGGGTGAAATATGGCTCGAGTTGTGGTGGAATTCCATATCAGCCAGCCCAGATCGCTAGAAAGCGCGGGCAAGCGCGTAAGCTACGAACGTCCAGTAGATTGTGTATTCATCCGCCGGTTTCAACATCATGGGAACATAGTTCTCAACCCATTCTGTATGCAGAGGCTCCGGGAACTGATTCATTCGCTTGACTTTGCAGTATTCCCAGTATTCTGGGTACCATCCCGCTTGTTCCCAGTCGATAATGGCTGCAACTCTCGGGAGTGGCCCTGGTGTCAGCATGATATTTGACGAGAGAAGATCGGCATGCGTGAACACAATCTCCTTTTTGTTGTCGATCTCAATGCCGCACGTGGTGTGGAATTTCTCAACAGCATCTGGGCCTTCGAATGGCCCTGAGTTTTCGGGATAACCCCGAAGTATGATGTCGTTCAAGGGCTGCTTCAAGTGGCTCCCTGTGTAGATGAATGTCAGGTCAGACTTGGTTCGTTGTTCTTTTTGCAAGAAAGAAATAGAACTCACCGATGTACCTTTCACTCTCATCTTGCTTCCAAGCTCTCCATGCATCCACCATGACCCTCAGCTCCTTACAGACATCCAGCCGTTCGTCTTCAGCCATCTCACTCCACCTTTCCTCCAGAGTATCTCCTTCGACCAAGGACATGTACATGAATCTCTGTCCTCCATCGTTTACCCAACCAAATACCTCAAGGACCGGCACTTAGCCTTGGAGCTTCTCACGAACCATGATTTGAGTCGAGGCCACGACAATGGTCACTAAGCGACCATATTTGATGAAAAGACCCAGATCACGAATGATGACGGGTGATGGACTGTCGAACTCATCTGCGCAGGGATCGCCCGTTGCAGTATTGATGGCTCTGACTTCGGCTGGGCTGGGAAGCGTAGCCCCAGGATGCTCTTTGAAGAAGCTTGATTCCGTGTAGATTGTCATAGTAAGTGCAATAGGCGAATCGCTAGAAGCCGTTGCCTGCCGCGAAGGGTCTGTGTTCTCGGTTGCCATTGTGGTTGTGGATGAATCTCAACTGATTGCTCTCATGCCGTCGAATTTTTAGATGCTTGTCGGACGTCGTCTTGCTTGGACTGTTGGTTGGTTCTAGCCGCCGTTGTCTCTGATGGCGGGGCAGTGCACGCGGACGCCTGATCGTCGCATGCAACCCGGTTCGCCTGATGCTGATAAAACCAACATGTTTTCCACCTGCAAAGCACTTCTTTTCAGTGTACGTCAGGCACTGAAGTTTGCAAGTCACTTCCACACGTGGCCGGCTGGGTTGGTCCTCGCAAGCAACGGCGACGTGGTTGATGCTATTTCCGTATGAACTCGACAGGGACAAGCCTTGGGGATCATGAGCTTATTCAGGGCGCAGAGTTCAGCGTCACCTGCATCCAGTTGCCAAAGGTAAGACCAACGCATCTTACAACATCAAGTAGTGAGTTTTGTTTTCATCAAAGTTTGGCCATGTCATGAAAAAGGAGTCGGGCCGCCATCTGAAGAAATTCACAGTGTTCCGCCGTGATGCAGAAAGAAAGTGGACCTCAAGCTCAGCTCTACCTAAGGTAGCAGCAAAGGCGGGGCAGATTGCCGGGAACACTGCAAATCAGCGCTTCTCCAGGGCACAGACGTCGGTGAAGCAGCCGGCGGTGCCCCCAAGACCCCTAAAAATAAGAACCAGCCCGCATGGGGGAGTGGGGCGTTGCTTGTTCACAGCGCACCACTGTGACCACGCCCGGATCTGAAAGGCTTCCTTCCTCAAGAAACGGGACCAACGAAAGACAGCTTGACGCACCTCAGCCGCACTCGGCCTCAATCGAGACTAGCTGACACCACCAATTCCTTCACTCCTGTGACTATCGGTTGAAACCATGTCGCCAAAAACGCCCTGCGCCACGTTGACTCCGTCGCCCTCCTCCTCGTTGTCGCGACGCGGGCGGCAGCGCTGTCAATCCTCGACCTCCTCTCGCGACGACGCGACCATGTCTTCTCGAGAGTGCGACTGACGACTGGCATCTTGACGCAGCCAGCGGGCAGATCTCTCTATCCGGATTCAAATTCTGCGGTGCGACGATACGAGCTGCGCAGGAGCTCCAGATCACCAGTCAACCAGCGAGCCCGGGAGCTCGACCTCGCACAATCAGCACCTCGACGACAATACCCCCCAACTCCGTTCTCGACGAAAGGTTCATGCCAACAGCGCGCCCAATACTTCAGCAGACAACATTCAGCAGCCATGGCGGCTCTTCCTCCTAATTGGGAATGGGATTATGATGGCACCCGCTGGTTCTATCGCTACAAGCCAAATGGCCATGTCCAATTCCACTTCCCCAAGGAGGGCGACGAGTTTCCCGACTTTTTCGACGCCATGACGCCGATTCCCGACCTCTCGCCCGAAGAGAAGCTCGAGAGTCAGCAGCAGATGAAGAGACGGATCGGCGGGGACCCTGACCCGAAGTCCCAAATGCGTGCGACTGGAGGACCCCTAGCCGACTTTGGGATGAGCAGGAGCGGTTTCGGAGGGCCGCTTGACGACGACGATGGGGCGGGATTCTTTTACCAACCTGAGAACTTGATGTATCTCGGGCCTGGCGCATATACTGATATCAGCCCTCTGGCCGACGAGGATGAGCGGGACGAGATCCCGAGGGATAGGCGGAAAAGCAGGGACAGCGCGAACCCCAAGAAGGAGAGGACGACTCTGGAACTGGCTGGAAGCGACAAAACGGGAGTGTCGCCTCTGCAAAGCGAGACAAATACACCTTCCGTAAAGAACAGCGTCCCCGTCCGAGAGTCTGCTGCCGTGCCGGAGTTGGTGGCAGAGGAGGCTGTGCTGATCATCAACACCCAAGAACTTCCCGGGCCAAGTCAACCAGCGATCCCGTCTCCTGGAGTACCGCTGCTGGACTCCGTTGAGAAGCCCCATCCGACAGCCGACCCGGCCGTCCAGTCACCACCTTGGGATCCTGTCGGATTCGTGGCAGAGATGGCGACAGAACATACCGCGCCTGCGCACATTGAGACGCATCCTGACCCAGTCGAGATGGGCGATAACGCTGTCCTGGCACCGATAGAGACGCGGATCGTGGACCCTGGCATTGCTGAGCTTCCCGAGCGGACAAGTCCATCAGATGCTAAACCACCTGTCCCATCCACTCACGACCTTTTACATCAGACGAGCATGAGTGATCATGCCCTTTACGGAGCTACCTTTGGTACAGGTTCAAGACCTCAAAACTCTTCACCAACGAATTCCGGGAAGGCGAGGACCAGTACGCGGCCTCTCGCTGTGCCCCCAAAACTTCCTCTCGATGACTCCCTACCGGAGGTCGTCCCACACCAGACCCAAAGCTCTGGGTCCACGCCGACTACCCAACCATTCAGTATCCAACGGAAACCTTCAAAGACGGGAGCCCAACAGGGAACTTTTAAGCCATACGTCCCTGGATCTACGCCGAACCCCATTCCTGACAAGTCGCAACCCAAAGAACCTGACTTTGTGCGCCGCGACCACCGAAATTCTTTGGCACGAGAGGCATCATTGATGTTGGGCCCCCGCCAGAGCTACGAGACATCAAACATGCCTTCGATCTTGCAGCCTCCGCAGATTCCCCCAAAGCAACCGTTGGAATCCACCCAAGCGCTCATCCAACACCCCGTGAATCCTGCGAGGCCCGATGCAACGCGAACGCAAACCGAACCGTCTGGGGTTATCACCGGTGTGATGCATTCTTCGGGGCCCTCCAAGGGTCCCTTGCAATATGTACCATCCGTGCTAAAGCCTGCGAGAGGTCGGCCGCAGGAGCCAGCGACAACTCTACCTCCACCACCTAGCACAAAACAAGTACTTTCGGGATCTACCCAATTCGCAGCCTTCCGTCCCGGAGTCCACGCCGCAACGCCGGCGCCGGGGCAAATCCCCCACTCCCTCGCTCCGACCCACGCTCCGCAGTCTCTCTCGGGTGCTCGGCCCTGTGTTCAGCGTGTCGAGACCGCGCCCGCAGATCATCATACGGCTGGAGACCATGCCCCTACGACCCAATTTGGTACTCGAACTTCTACAGTGCCAACTTTGCCTGCGTTTTTGCAGCGGCCTACGGGTCAAGCCGACTCTGCTCAACCAGCGAGCCGACCACAACAACACGCTTCATCGTTTAGTGCACGAGCAAGATCCAGGTCTGATCTTCCCCAACCTCTTCACAATGCTCACAGTACACCTGCATCTATGATCGGCCAAGTTCAACCTCCAACAAGACCTGGCTCGGCGGCAATTCCTAGGGCTGAATCTCCGCCTAAGACTAGCATTGTTACTCGCCCACAATCGGCTATGGACTTTATGCAGGGCCGGCCTGATCCTAGGATAGACAGAGTGATCAACCAGACGACACCTACTCCGCCTCCAGATAGACCAAGACAGACCTCATATGCGTCCAGCGAGGTGTCGTCATTAGGGCCCCCATCGGGAAGTCAATCGTCAGGGTTACCATTCCAGACACCCTCGCCTTTAGAAAGTAACGGAAGACGCCCATCTTCAGGTTTCTTTAGAAGCGCGGATGCGAACGCAAGCCCCATGGAATCTGCCACAACCCCCGTTCCTCAAAGACAAAACCCGTTTGAGATACAAACTGCTCCTCTTCGATCTCCGGCGTCGAGGCCGGCATCTTTCTCCGGCCCCTCTCCTACCTCGACGCAGCCCACAACGCCTGGATCCGCAGGCTTTGACATCACAGCGGGTCCTCCTGAAGTTTACGGCATAGCTTCGTCAAAGCCTTCACCTGGTGTCTCGCAGCATGCGTCAGGCATGCCAGGTGGTCGCGCAGCCCACAATGTTATTGAGCCTATTCAGTCGCCTACAGACCGTCAACACTCTGTGCCTGCCGAGAAATTTGCTGTGATGGAATCACAGCCTTTACCTGTGCAATCGACGTCAAATGGGTCTTCTAAGTATGTACCTCAACAGCAACAACCGTATCAGCAAGGCCAAGAGATCCCACAGCCTCACTCAGCACAGCCAGTTCCATCCACTTCAAGTGTCGGCAATCAGCCAGGAACCCATCCGCCGTATCCACTCGAAGAGGGCCAGACCATACCGAGACTTGGTGACCGTCCACAGCGTCCAACCGTCACGCCACCAACACAGCAGTTCCTTGGCCCTACTAGTCCTCGAACACCTGGCCATATTCTTCACCCAATCCAAGAGCACCATGACTCTGGCGCGACCAACCAAAATGTCTCGGGCACCGCTGCGTTCCAGAACACAGATTCTGCCCATCGAGCGTCCCCTGCAAGTGTCCGTCAACTGTCAACAGGATCATCCCAGTATCCGTCATCAGCCGAGTCACCCGGCGGGCAGGGCAACATGTTCGGCCGAGGAAATGTCACGAGCATGCCTCAAGTGATGTCACCAGCGGTCGCGACCATGGGTCAGACGTACTCTCCTGTACAGTCCAATCCGTTTCAAGTTTCTCCAACCACTGCGAGAATGCACCCGCCGACTCAAGTGATGCGCCCGGGATCCATACCACAGGTCATGCCACATGGCAAGGATAAGGAGAAAGGAGGCTGGCTTTCCAAGATAATGAAGGGTTCCGGTAAGCCGAACGTGCTGCAAAAGCCACCACCATCCCCAAGTACTGGCCCAGCGTCGCCTCTCTCGCCAAATACTACTCGGCCGACCCAAGGTCATAACACAGGACGGGTCGCAGCGCAGCAGTCCAACCAAGCAACCTACAATCAGCAAGTGCCAGCTGCATTCCAGCAAATACAGCAGCCTATTGTATCTGAGCCAGTGTCTAGACCTCAGAACTTCGTCCCAACCCCGGCCGGGCCCATTCTGGCGCCGCCTACCGGTGGCCCAGAGGCCATGATGAAGATGCAACAGGGTCGGGCAGTCGAGGCACCCCAGGTAGCTCCAAGGCTACAAGTCGATCAATCGCAACGAGCTGATGCCACACAAAGCGTAGAGAAAACAGTCTCTAGTTTGCCCCCTCGGGGGCTGTCACCGGCAACCGTGGCACCGAGTGAACACACAGCAGACAACATGTCCGATGCCGCATCCGTATCTGCCATCTCTGTCTCCACAATGGACGTATCCGAGGCTCAGGCGCAGCCTGTGTTGAAGCCCCAACTTGTCACGGTTGAGAAGGCTCCCTCGCTACCCGATAGACACCAACTACCTTCGCGGGTTGCGGCAGCTTCAGGCTCGTTATCTCAGTCACCACCCAAGACTGCGGATCCGGCGACTAGCTCCCAGCCTTCTGTGGACAGTGAGCTCACGGTTGAGCCTCTGTTTTCGAAGAGGAAGAGCATTGCCGCCGCCCCGCCGGTGCCCGTTGTGCCTCCAGCTCCTGCCACTAACGACAAGTGGGCTAAGAAGCCTGCGGTGGACTATTCTGGTGACGATTGGGGCGATGACCCATGGGATTATGCTTGAGGTCAGAATCAAGAGGCGAGCAGCATAGTCATCTCTCCTGTTTTCCATCATTTAGAAGCATACCCCCAAACAAATTGAAGAAATGTTTGCTCAAACACCCACAATCGTTTTGGCAACCGTATTCATTATTATTAGACACTATATTAACTTAACATCGACGACCATCAACTTCACTATCTACTCCTTCACCGGCAACAAGTTCAAAATCCCACTCAATAAATCCGTCCTCAACGCCGTCCCATTCTGTGGCCCAACATATCCCACCCCAGAGCTCGTACACCCCGGCACCAAAGCACACACACTGCTCCCCAGCCCCTCCCTCATAAAGTTCCCGCCCACCAGCACCAGCCCCGCCTGCTGCACGTACGCCGCCAAGTCGAACGGCGCGCGGGCAACGTCTTCTACCAGGTTCAGCGCCGGCGGCGTGTACTCTCCGGGGGGTTGCCGGAAGAGCAGCGAGACGTAGCGGTGCGGGGCGACGGAGAGCGGGGTCAGCGGCATGTAGCGCGCTTCGGTTACGGGCGACTGGGCGAAGACGCAGGATGGCTGGAGGTTGTAGATTATGTGGTGGAGGTAGGAGCGCAGGAGAGGCAGGGAGGGGCCCGGGGCGTCGGGGTCGAGTTGGATGTAGGTGTATTTTGTGGAGGGGGGGTAGAGGGCTTCGGGGGGGAAGGAGATTGTTGGCTCTTGGAGGGTTTCTGGTGCGTTGAAGATTAGTTGTATGTTTTGGTTTGAGGAGGGGGGAGAGGGATGGGAGTAAAGGAGGGACAGTGGACAATGGACGTACGCGCGGCGGAGAAGGTGTTGCCGAGGTTCTCTGGGATGTTACCGTAGAGCACCTGCAGCTCAGTCGTGGGGTTGATGGAGGTGAGGATGTCGGGGATGATGCCGGAGGACTGGAACGCGGCGCGGACCTGGGCGGCGCGGGTTGCGGGGAGGCCTATTGTTGGGCATATTGGGGGTTGGAGGATGCTTAGGGGCGATGCGGATGACAAAGAGACCGCGAGCAGCGGGAGAAGAGATATGGTTTGAGGTTTCATGGCGATGTGGAGTTGACGAATGAAGTTCAAGTAAATCTGATGATGTTGGGATTCTTCCCGTTCAGCAGCTGGGATGCGCTCCGTTTTATATATGTCTTTATATCTCCATTTCCAAGTGGTTGAACTGGACTGACGTCGTTAGGACCAAGTGAGACATCGCAGACGCTAGTAGGAAGCCATCCAGCCGAGACGACGTTGTGTCTGGCTCGTCTCCCCGAATGCGTTGCCAAGATAGATTTTGGAGGTTGTTTCTTCCGGGACGAGGAAAGGTGATCGGCGGGCGGGATGTTGAGGCTGAATCTTTTGGCGGGGGTGGGTAGTGCCGCTGACGGACTTGTGTTAGCGTGGAACCACACTTGAGGCGTCTTGGAGTGTGTGATATGACATCAGGTGTTACTGTGGCTGTTGTATATGTTATGCCGAGGCTGATGCCCTCTGGAGAGCGACTGGACTGTATTATTTAGAGCTCCAGCCTTCCTCCGATTCCTACGAAAACTATAATTCACGTGGGAAAAGTGTCGGTCTTTCTGCCTGTGAGATGATTGGGAACTAACCGATATCCATAGATGTCTACGTACTGTAGTCCACACGCACTCCATGGGATACACTCCCCTAATCAGTTTCATGGCTCGATTCAGGAGGCCTTTCAGAAGGCCATTTGACTTCCCAACTTTACTTGTTGAATATAGAAGCAAACACAAATAGCTCTTCAACTTTCGCTTTCGTTTTGGTATCTTTTCTGCTGAACTCACGCTTACTCTATCCAGACTAGCTCGCCCCCTTTCTTTCATAAAGGAACGACTCGCTTCGAACGTTCAAATTTCTTGGTGATTTCATAGCTCAATCAAGCCCTTGAGAATGACAGATTGATACCACCTTCCTCAAAGTCATCTGAATACTTTCCTGAAATATTTGATGCCTCAACCACTGGAGCCAGAGTCGGAGTGGTGGATAGGTCGATGGCCCGCCTCAGATGCACGCATGGCATACCCGGACTACCCTGAGGACGTCCCGCCCATCCTCCGCATGGACTCACTTCCTCGTCTGTACTGGCCAGTGTACGAGGACATCTCGAAGGTGCAGGTCTTTGACGACCCAGAAGAGAACGAGCAGGACTCGCCCAAACGCCCTTTCCTCGGACATTCCTTGGCCGAGGAACCCGTCACCAACTACGGCCTGACTGAGCTCCTGATCAGAATCGGCATGCAGGAGGGCAAAGAATGCCATACCCTTGACAATGAAGAATACGAGAACCCCAAGATGGTGGTCAAACGGGAAGACGGCGGGGCGATCACGTTTGGGGACTTTGTGACGCAGATACATCCGTTTCTTAATGAACACAAGGAGGAGACTCTGCAGTTTTGGGAGGAGCTTCTGGAGAGAGTAGATGAAGGCGACGTCATTCTCTTTGAATGTTGTTTAACCGGATATCCCCAAGATTTGGAGAGTCGAGAGGAGACACTGCCGGTCACCATAGAGCTTAAGAAAAGCACCCAGAAGTATGGCGAGCGGTATTACCGGTGGAAGGCTGCCAAGGCTGCAGCGCGGCAGAAGGAAACCGTTCATGAAGGGAAAGACATTGGGGAAGGGGGAAAATTATGAAGAAGGAAACACGCTCTGGATCACTTCACGAGAGGGTATCAGGAAACAGGAATGTAATACCCTGCCCTGGCGCTTGTGGAGAAGGATATTTCCGTACATCCAATCGGTACCTAATAGTTGCAGTGACCTAACGAATAGCAAATTGCAAAGACTCAATTCATCCTGATCTACGTAGGTTGAGATAAGGAAGGTATATGAAACTACTCGACCTCTTCAACTTTGACCTCTGTCTCCAGCACCTCCCAGAACTCAGGGCGAAGCTGTATGAGTTCTGCAGGGGTCATGCCCTTGTCATTCTGCAACTCTTGGTTGGCACCAGCATCGACAAGCGCAGCCACGAGACTTCGTTTGCGCTGTACCACCGCTAGATGTAGGCATGAGTTGCCGTGATCATCTTGCGTGTTAACGTCCGCTCCAGCTGCGATCAACCACTTCGCCGCCACTAAACATGTCGGTTTATTTCGATACGCGCAGCACATCAGGGGCGTGGTGCCATCTGCTGCCTGGACATTAAGATTCGCTCCGCTGGACTTGAAACATTCTAGAATCTCTTGAATGTCTGCAATGCTTTCCTTCTCATTCCGAAAGCGGTACGGGGTTTCGCCCATAAGCCGTCCTCTTGCGTCGCCCCATGCCTTCTAATGAAGATTAACATGTTAGCTCTGAAAACAAGCAGGGGATTTCTCGGTCTCTAATGTTTCCAAGCCTTGAGATACCTCGGATACTACTTTTACAGGAGTTATTTAGATATGTAGACTCGCTCTACACGACGTATGCCCCAGGGAGCGATCTCAGCCTAGCTCTGACGTCGAAAAAGAGAACAACAACAACAACAACTTACAGAGATTTGATAGTCTGCCTTGTGAAAGAATTTCATTGGGCTGGTCCAGACGTTTACCTCCCGTTCAAAAGCTCTGTTCTCAGAAACAGTGATTTCTTCCTGGTCACCTGCTATGTAGTGCAATGGTTTGAACCCCCAATAATTCGCCAAGTTAGGGTTTGCACCCCATTGTAGTAGGAGGCGGGTGTGACTGACGGAGTTCCTTCGAACTGCGATATGCAGCGGCAAGATTCCGAAATGGTCTCCCCGGTTCACGTCACTGCCTGCTTTGAGCAGAAGTTTCATGACCGAATCAGTATTGAGGGAACAGAAGCCATCATGGTGAGCACCGTGCTCGAGATCAAGTTCGGCTGTCAAGAATAATGGAGTACGACCGCACAAATCTTGAGTTGAGACTCGAGCCCCGGCTGATAAAAGCAACCGTACAACTTCCAAATGGTCCATATACACCGCCCTGTGAAGCGGTGTATGACCGAAGTCGTTGGTCAGATTAGGATCGGCTTTGTAGTCAAGAAGGGCTTGCACGGAAGGTACAGACCTTCGTAGCACAGCGATATGAAGAGGGGTATTTCCAGACCAGTCCCTTGAACAAACTGACCATCTTCGTGGTAGATGTCTCTGCTTCCGAAGCAAGACACGAACCACTTTACTGTGTTCACGCAGTGCCGCCTTGTGCAGCGCTGTCGTTCCTAGAAAGAACCCTTGAATGCTCCTGTAAAGACCCAGAGGCTTATGGTCAAGAATATGCTTCAAAAGAGGCGCGACTCCAAGTTCCGACGCAACGTGGATAGGCGGACCTGTCAAACCTAGACAATACCCCAATGGCTTTAAAAAGGGTAAGGACCTTCTGACCAATTGTGAAAATTCACCACCACTGTCTATGGCATGATCCTTGAAGCGGTTGATTGCGTACGTCTGTACCCTGGACTCTGTTTCTCTGAATTTCCGGATGTCATCTGAGAGGTATTTCGACTTTTCCAAGGATTCCAAGGATTTCAGCATGTCTAAACAAAGACCTGCAAGCTGCAGATGCGCCTTTTGTCGTTCAAAGCGAAACGCCTCCAATCCGTGGTCAGAGCCCGGCGATGGGCGAAACAGGTAGTCTTTCACTGACTGGTGCGCCAAACGTATGACTCTCTTCCCAAGTATTGGGTGATCCATAAGAATCAGAAGGCCGCCACATTGGGCAACGAGGGATTCCGTTACTTCAGAGGCCGTTAGGTGAGCAGTAGGCTGGATACTTAGGAGGCACTCCACTTCCTTGACCTTCATGGGGTTGTAGACCGTTGTGACCACAGAAAGAAGGCGAGATACAGATATCACGCATACAGGGTCTAATCTTTCTAGGATTCGGCTGTAGATGCCATTTAGGCCAGAAGGCAGGCTGTTGAGGCAAGTTTCGACATCGGCTAGTGGCCTCGTTTTGAGCTCCTGTGCCGCCAGATCAACCCAGAGAAACGTTCCTTCTGACCTCTTCATCAAGGTGTCGTGGAAGACTTGTTGAAGTGTTGGGGGATAGCCACCATTATCTGACAGTTGTTGCACTCGTTGTTGGATGAATGTACTGAGATCTGCCTTCACCTCCTTTTCCGCATCGATTTCAAGACGAAGGCGCACATACTTAGAGAGTGAGCTCTTCAATGACGGACTCAGGGCTCGACTGAGAATTATTGGCTTGAATCTGGAGGTTCTGACACCCAGAAGGCTGTTGACTAGTTCGCCGCATGTGCTGCCGCATTCGTCCAGGCCATCGATGACACAATATACGCACCCAGCGTCTAGGTCCTCAACCATGTTGTTGAAAGTTCGACAGAGCGATTCAAAACGCACATTGTACGTCTTGGAACCCATTTCGTGCTTCTCCTCAAATATCCCATGTTTAGACAGACTGGGGTTCAGAACCACAAGTTGGGAAATGAGACCTCGAAGTATCCCTCGGGAACAGTTCATCATCTCTCTTTGACCGTCGCAAAAAAAGTAAATAACGGACTCTGTCGCCGACTTCTTGGCCTTCATCTCAAGATGTTCGGTCAAGAAAATTGACATCATGGATTTGCCCATCCCTGCGCCGCCTGTGATCCACAAGCCTGGACATGGGGTGTCCATCCACGTGTTGTAGGCATCCGTTTCAAGTATCCACGAGCAAGTTCCGTCAACTCTTTCCCCTTTGGCAGAGACCAGGGCGGATCTTTCGTCACTTGAGTCAGTGATGAACACTGCTCCGAGAAACCCATTTACTTCGTCCTCGCTAAAACCAACAGTGCCAACAGTGCTGGACTCAGTGGACTGGTTTTCTACGGCAGCAAGGTCTCTGTCATGCTCTTCGCCCATTTGATACCGGGCATCTCTGTAAAACTGTCAGTCACTCAGTCATAACATAATCATGAGGTTTCACATACGAGATGGCAGCTGCTATTTGCAACTCCAACGACGCCTTCTCCCTCTGGAGTCTGTTGAAAAGACGGATAATCTCTTCCTCCATATCCTTTGAAACAATTGACTTCCAGGAATACCTAAAGGTGTGATCCTTCTTGAAGGAGCGGATTTCCTCCAGAAGAAGTTGGATATCTGAGACGCTGTCGGCACACCGTTTCACACTGGCCCCAGTGTCGCGGTCGCGCCTGAGAACGGGACTGAGATCTATTCGGTCGCATATCTCACTGAAGCCTTCTAGCTCATCCAGGCGCTTCTGAACCCAGTCTCTGTTCCAATCGCGGAATTCCATCATAAGTAGGGTTCCGGCGCGTTGAGCTGCCGTAATAGCAGCGCGAAGAGCTTCCATGATTGCCGACTTGTAAGGCGCGATTTTGCGGGAGATGTGACAGAAGAGATCGGGGTCTTTTTGATCATAGACGCAAGCCCAAGGCCAGAGTCGTCAGGACGACTTCCAAATGGCCCGGAGATGGTTTGTGAAGAAGGAAAGAAATGGCGCCGCCGCAGCCTGATCCAAGATCAGTTATAGATGCACAGTCCCTTTTTTGTCCCAATGGGAACGCGTACTCGATATGGGGCTGAATCAACTGCATATTGTAACGTCAGCACAATTCCAATTGGCTGATTGTACGAGCAAACATCCAATGTTACACAAAGACCCGTAAGTGCATGTTATCGGGACCAATTTCGCTACTCAGGCTACACGAACGGCTGCTAACGCCAAGGCCGATCACTTTGTTGTGAAACTCAGACAATGCACATTAATCATCTCAATGGGAACTTCCTCTGGATGTGTGATCCTGATGATATGGCGTTCCTCTACGTTTTTCAATACACTTGTCTTTAACGAAGGAGTCGGTCTTAAGACTTGCAGACCTTTACCATCCCTGAGACTCGACAATCGTTTGCAGTGTGATAGCTGCAGCGCGAGCCAATCTCCAAAGCCAGCTACTGAGCTTTTGAATAGAACCAAGCTACACATCCTCAGACGTACCAGGCCAGTCCCTTCCTTCTTGAGCCACGGCAACTATCCCTGTTACACATGTTGTAGTCCCATGTGTCTTCATTGCCCTCGTAAGAGCTTGGATCCAGAGATTTGAGCCACAGCGGCAAGTCCTCAACTTTGGGCGACAGCCAAGCCTCCTGCTTTCCCTTCGCGTCCTGGACCACTTCCATCTCTGAGACAACTCTTGTTCCAGCCAGCATCACCTTGTTTCCTTCTAAGGTCCAACGATACGTCGCCACGCATTTTTCGCACCTGGCGGTGTGGTGAGTATCAAGCTCACAGTCTGCCATGAACTTTCCCGCAAGATTGTCAAAATCTCCGCGGCATATGCAGCACCTATCCGCCAGGGGCGTTGAATGTTCCGGGCATGCATTTGAAGCCGCGGTCGTCCGAAAGCAAAGACAGCGGCTGGTGTCAAATGGACGCAACAGGAAGCTGTCTTCGAGATCCGTATGTGGGCATAGGTAATCGTTGTGTGGCTGTATTTGGGCTAGACCTTGTTTCAACAGGTCCTTGGTGACAACTTGGTTCGATTTCAAAGTACAGACCGTGAGCTTCCAGGTCGCCATAATTCTATCTTTGGGCGTTCGCAGAAGTCTTGGTGGCACATCGCCAACATTTACAAGCGACTTCTTGCAATCTGTGCACTCGAATGTTGTGTTGTCTCCGTTCTGCCGCCTCTTGTGGTTGATCGGTTCCGAGAGAGACAAGAATTTGTGGCGGCAAAGCCTGAACTTTCCCTCCCAGGCGATGCACACTGGACGTGGCGATGTATACTGAGTATTCGAAAATAACGTGCATCTATGGTTGATCTTGCAGCCGGTGCAGGGTGTCGGGTGCGGGTAGCCGTTCCCCCCATAAGGTCGGAAATATGCACTGGGGAGACAATCGCGGCAGACATCAAAGCGAAGAAGATCCCTGATACTACCCTTGTGATGGGCTGAGATGATATTCTGGTTGAACTTCACGATTGGCTCATGTGCGCTGATGAGACTGCCGCTGTCGTGACCATTCGGCCCGCCAGCCTGTTGGGCTCGCTGGTATGTCGGGCGGCCACGATTGTGCTTCCCTTCCTTTTGGAGGCTTGTAGTTGCGAATAACCAATTATGGCTCGTAAATATGGATGCAAACCGCGAGGAAACCTGTCGAACGCAGTAAAGTTCGACAGGACCAAGATAACAGAATATGTCGAGAAGTACATGATCGGAAAGTCGGAAAATCGGGCTGTTTTCCTGGTTCTGGGCGCGCCGAGATAGAAAAGAAGTACAATATCCCGTGCTGTAAAAGGAAAATTGGTGACTATCTTCAGATTGGTGGCGGTATCTGACGGTCTCTTGCGACAAGATGCTCTCAGTTGACTGCTCCATGACTGTGACGGGTCTAGATAAAAATGACACGAACTGATCGATATTGAAGTCGATTAAGCGGTTAGAAAACACTTTTCCAGTTTCACGGGGGAATTTCGTATCTACATATCAACAGCATTGAGATATCGGAGGAACATGTGGTCGTACGGGTAGTGATTACCCTGTAGTCGCCATATCGACCACTTTACTTCCCACCACACGGGTCCTTTGTTTTCCCTTTTCTGAAAAAAAAAAAATGCAAAAAGGTAGTTCATCAAGGTTGAATTGGATGGCTCGCCTCATTTCACGTAATCTTTGAACCCGTCCTGAGAACAACAAGACAATTTCACGCCATAATGGATACATGTAGACAGAGCCGATAATGGACTCAAATCTGGGGACGCTTTAACATTATCACATCGCACACTGAAATGAAGACTCTTTAGACAAGGACTAGACGTTCATACAGGTAGCAATGAATTGCCTAGACGTACTACTGGTATAGCTTCTGAGGGCTATCAAGTTCAGTTGAAAATTTTGAATGCCTCTTCAGCTTGAGCCTTCTCAACCTCATGCTCTCCAGGATATGCTCGTTCGCATGCAATCATGGCCTCCAAAAAGTCATTGCTGAGGAGCCTGTCTCGTTCAAAGTTTTCGAATATTTCATAACCCCAGGTTCCCCAGTGTCGGCATGCGCGTTGAATCTGTTTATTGATGACTCGTCTGCATCTCTTTCGCTGGTCCATCTTTCGCCAGCTGGCTACGGCGATGGAAGCAAGGAAGTTCAAACGAACAAAATTGTCACCAGGGCGAGCGTCTGTCTGAAATATCAGTTTTCGACCTTCCAGTTGCCTCAAAGAAATTAGGTCTTGCTTTATGCTGAGTGTCTTGCCCTGCTTTGCTGATGGGTGGGTAGGATCGATGAGAAGAATTTTGTACTCCTTGAAGGGGCTTTCTTGCCAAGCTTTGAGGCACTGTCTATGTTCGTCATCTTCTGCGTCCGAATCGTCGTCTGACTCACTGCCAAACTCATCCGGCTCAACCCCGACGTCCGGAACAATGCAGAGTACGCCATCCTTCAGACCCTGGGCAATGTCTTCGTGGAGGAATAGACCATTCTGGGCACTGAGCCATTGCTCAGGTGTGTTTTCATCGTATATCCAGTTGTCCAGTAAGTCTTGGTGACGTGGTGTACACAGATGCCTCGCACGAACAACTCGAAAGCCTCCCCATTCATGCAGAACAGGATCCCATCGTTGGTTGCATTCGGGCGGGTTGGGACAGTATGCGCCGCACATGATGTGCGCGAAGGCTTCCTCCTGGGACACCCCTTCCACTTGAGCGCCATTGTCAATTTCGAACAGACTGATAAATTTGTCGAGTCCATCGTGCCACCCATCCCTGGATCTTCTTTTTTCAGCGATTATGCTCAACTGCTTGAGAGCGAGCATTCGTGAGTTGAGTTTGTGGTTGTCCTTCCGCGTCATCCAGTCCTCAAGTCCGATGGATTCGACGGCGGTTTTACTTTTCAAAAGCTCCTTTTGGATTTCTATCGCGATGTCATCTGCCCATGAATCCAGAATTCGGGCTACCATGCCCCAGCCGAGACGTTCATAGTCGTCCACACATACGCGGTCCCTGTCGTCGGTCCCTCTTCTGGATTGTCGGCAACGATGATCGCTGCAGCTTCATGGTTGGCTTTGGTGGGATCGAAGCCATCGTCAATCTTTGTATCAGCATGGTGCCCTGCAATCATGACTAACGACGTCAGAATGCTGTCACTGACATAGGGCTTTCCGCGGCATGCCTGCCTCCAGGCCCTTCCCATTTCCATCACGAATTGGGAATGCTTGACAGGACTCGTCCCGCCCTCATCGTCATCCTCAATATAAACCATAATCTTGGACTTGTAGTAACCATGGGTACTCTTGGATCTCCAAGCAGCAACTATAGCTGAGCTCATGTAGTTCCACTACATGTATTGTGCCTTAGGTCGGAAATCGTCGCGAAAGGACAGCATGCGGCCTTCAAGTTCCCAGAGAAACGTTACACTGAGCTCCGGATTCACAAGGTCCAATCGTATCTCAAGGCAATCATGCCAGTAGTCGATCACAACAACCTGATAGCCTTTCCCATCGTCAATTTCATCTGGTATGAGAGCCAGAACACCCTCATCAAGAGCTCGACCAATGATAGGATGCGTCAAAAGTCCGTTGTAAGCGCTGGAGATATCTTTCGAGGCTCCTTTGCCGAAAGTTTTGTCCATGATATCGACCCAGCGACTTGGAAAGAGACGGACTGGCCGACAGCGATCATGTGGGGACCACTTGCCAAGCACATGATCCCAGTATTCACCCTCCTGTTCCGGTTTGTGACCGGCGTGGTACTTTTCTGCCAGCTGCTCCCGAAATATTTTCTCGTCTTGGTAGCTTGGCCGATCACGTGAGCTTCGGAAGAACTTCATAAAGTTTTCCTCTAGTTGACCCTGGTCGGGATCAGACTTGTTGACTTGGTATTTGCAAATGTCAATGACTTTTTGGTGTGCTAAGTGGCGAGCTTTCCATCTGTACTGTGTTTCTGTCTCTCTCACTCAGCCAGGCTCCAAAGCGCGTGACGTCCAGCGCTGCCGTTAAAGCCAATAAATTAAATAACGCCAAGATTTGACTGATTTGATTGCCCCTACGCCAGTATTGGTTGATTTGCCCTGTTGGCCAATATAACAAAGCAAATCCATAGAACACGTGACTCAAAGCCGCCA